AAAAAATGGAAATAAAGTCTTTGTAAATAGGGAAGGGTGGAGGGGGTGAAGGGAGGGCAGGGGAATGGGGGAAAAAATAAAAACCAAGATGCATCATGTAAAGGTATAAGTTCCCAATGAGAAATGTAATTGTGTTGTATCCTTAAAATGTACCAATAAAAGAATTTAAGACAAAAATAAAAATACTGTTGAGCAAAAGAACTTAGACACAAAAGAACTGATTGGTCTGGTTCTATTTAAATAAAGCTGGAAATCAGGCAAAACTAACAATGATATTAGAAGTTCAAGGCATGATGACTAGAAACAGGAACAGGAGGGCTTTTGGGTAATTGTGATATTGTTTCTTTATCTCAGTAGTGGCTATGTTAATGCATTCACACAGTGAAAATTTTACAGGACATGTATAATTTGTGTGGGTTTTTTTGGAACTAGGGATTGAACTCAGAACCTTGTGTTTGCCAGGCAAGCGCTGGCGCCACTGAGCTAAACCTCCGGCTCCAATTTGTGCATTTTATGTATTTGTTCTGTTTCTAGTAAAAAGTTCCCTTGAACAAAGTAAGCGTGCCAGGTTTCTTCATGCCCAGGGAAGATAAAATATGAGAAGACATTTAAGAATAAGCTGATATTTAAACCATGAATGGGTTAAGGTCATAACACATTTGGCATAGAGAGTAGCATATGGAGTAATACCAGGACAAGCTACTTAGAGAGACAAAGAAAAGAAGGGACTTTCCTCAAGTAAATGGTTAATCTTACCTATAGTTATCAAAAAAATAAAAAAATAAGAGCTTGCTGATTAACTGTATGCTCAAATGAAGCCAAAGAGGACCTGAGTCTGGAAGTATCATCTATACCCTTTCAGAGTATGCATTAAGTAGCAAAGAGATTCACTTCTCCAGCTGACAAATTCTAATCTGGCCTTGACCTACTTCCTGACCCTATCTATAACTTAGAAGAAGTACAAACTTCCCAAGCCTTAGTTTCTTTAATTTGACTTGTAAGGATAACAGTCACCATGCTTATAGAGGTTTTGATTAAATAAGCAGGTTCATACACACTGATTAGTTTAGTAACTGCCCAGTAGTCAGTACTTAACAAGTTCGATCTCTCATTATCCAGTTATCCACCTACTCATTCATCCACCCATCCACCTGTTTACCCACCAATTCCTCTATTCATCACCTAGTTCTTTCTTCCTCCGCACTGCCATTTGCCAAGACTTATAAAGTGTTGTATTAGGAATTTTAAACTGAGATCTAATTTTTCTCCGCATGATATTGGACAAATGGTTAAAATTATCTACATTTTTTATTTAGTCTTCTCTACAGTGGAGAAAGTGCTCATCTTTATATTATAAAACTGCTAAAAGAATTAAATGATTCATTAAACTCTCCTCATGCAACATATTTCTATTTATTGGAGCAGAAAGGCCCATGTGCCAAAGGGAAAGATCCACCACAATGTGAAAATACAAAAGACTTATAAACCAGCACCCTCTCCCATTTCAGACTCATATTCTCAGTTCTTACTGGACATCATAGCTTAAATGTGCCAAGTTCCTTCAAATCACCAGACCTAATACTAAAGTCAATTGAATCGTGTCCCTCCCAATTCATATGCTGAAGTGACTTTGAATGTGACTTTGTCTTTACAGAGGCAATCAAGTTAAATGAGATTATTTCTATAAGGACGCTAAGAGGAAATTTAGAGACGGATAGGCAGAGAGGGGAGGTGATATGAAGACACACAGGGAAGAGATGACCATCCACAAGCCAAGGAGAGACACCCAAAACCTTATAACCCTCAGAAGGATCCAGCTCTGGAACTTCTAGCCTCCAAAATTGCTAGAAAAAAATGTTTTTATTGTTTAAGGCACCTACTTTTTAGCACGTTATGGCAGCCCTAGCACAATAATTCCCCTCTCTGTACTCCTCATTCTCTGGTATTTCCTATCTCAGTAAGTTGTACCACCCCCTATCTAGGTGCTTAAGCTAAATACCTGGCATCAATCTTTCCCCTTTATTCTTCTCAGCTCTTCCTTCACCAAGTCAAAATATTTTGTCTATCTTCCCTTCTAAATAGTTCTAGAATCTACATACTTATCTCCATATAAGCGACCATAACCCTCGTCCAGGCCTCCAGAGATCACCCCCCAAGCAGTCCCTCCCATCTCCAATCTAACCTCTATGCTACTGACAAAGGGTTCTTTCCAGAACTCAAATTCAAAATCACATCCTGGTTTAAAACCCTTCAATGACCAAACTCCATTACACAACTTATACCTCCTCCCTCAGTGCTATAGTTTGGATTTCCCCAAAGGCCCATGTACTGCAGGTTTAATCCACAGGTGATGGCACTATTGAAAAGTGGTGGAAACTTTACGAGGTGGGACCAGTGGAAAGAAAGCTGAGTCTAGAAGGTGCCATTGCAGGGGATATTGGAACACTGGTGCCTGATTATATTTGTTAGGGAGGATCCATGGCCAGAAGTAAATGATGATGTGTCCAGTGATTCCTAAGAACAGGAAACAATGCCCCTTGGACACAGGAGAAACAGTACAACACTTAGAAGGGATTTTTAGGTTAGAAAGCCTAAAAAGGGCCGGGGATTTAGCTCAGTGGTTTCGCCGCCTGCTGCGCAAGTGCAAGGACTTGAGTTCGATCCCCGGTACCAAAACAACGAAACAAAAAAAAGAAAGCCTAAAAAATGGTAGATTCTAAATAAGGAGAAACTATGATTTTCTGAGCTCATGGCCATTCAGCAAAAGTATTCATCGTCTCCAGGTAGCATCTGTTTAATCAAAACAAATCACCCCTGAATAAGTCAGCAATGGTCTGGTGGTTCTCCTGAAGGTTCAAGTTTAATATGTCTAGAGGTCTTTTGTATGAATAAAGTATAATGTTATGAGCAGCTGGGGATCCAGGAAGTTGGGCCTTTCAAAAGGCCATGATATAAACCAATCTAATCTTTTTTGGGTTTTTATGAGTCAACACCAAAAATGTACCTGGCATTAAGTAAATAACTGTTGAGTGAATAAACTTAGCTCTCAGATGATATTAAAACAAAGCAAATGGCCATATCCACATCTAAAGTCTCCGTAAATTAATATTTAAGGAAGAAAGATGAAAAACTCACTCTTGATTAAATCATGCAATGACTACAACTTGCAAAATTCAGAGCACAATGAAGTATACGAAGAACACTGGGCATAATTAACCTCTCTTGTTTGTTTTGAGACAGGGTCTCACTACATAGCCTAAGCTGGCCTCAAACGCTTGATGTTCCTTGTTTTGGTTACTTTTCATTGCTAGGACAAAATACCCGATACCTACAAGTTAGAGGAGAGATTGATTCTGGCTCACAGTTTGAAGAAGTTTTGGTCCATAGCTGGCTCCAAGGCAGGATGGCGTGGCACAAGGGTGTGGCAGCGGTGGAAAGCAGAGAGGGATCAAGGGAGGAGGGAAGGAGCTACATCCTTGTAGGCCACACCCGCATCGACTCACCTCCTCTCACCAGGTTTCACCTCACATCACATTTAGCTATAAACTCATCAGTGGACTATCACACCCCCATGATCCAATCACCTCCCCAAAGCCCCTCCTATGAGAGCAAGAAGCTTTGGGGGACATCTAGATATAAACCATAACATTCCTGCCTCAACCTCCTAAGCACCAGGAACACACGCATGTACCACCATCCCTGACTCACATTAACCTCTTTAACATGACTATTGGTATAACAGGTACATTCTGCAAATTCACATATCCTAGTTAGCTAACTACACAAAACACTTTTTCTAAAAGTTTCAGATGAACCTCATGAAAGACACACCCACACCATACTATATCTCACTTAATAATAATGAGATACTTTTCACTTATCTATCATCAGTTTCATATTATGGAACAAAGTGTTGGTAGATGTATTTTCAAATAAGCATGTTCAAAGGATTGCAATACAATTTGGTACATCGGCATATGCTTGCACCAAGTGTCATCTTGTACACATAACAAAGGTTTTATAGCTAATAATGGAAGGAAAAAGATACACTAACATTAACTAATAGTCTATTACTCATAAGGAGTTATTCCCACATTTGTCTCATATAGTACTCATAGACATAGTCCATGAAGTGGTATTTTTTTCTTTCTGAAAATGAGGAATTAGGAATGAAGACTAAGTAACTTGTCTAAGGTCATGTAATTACTTAGCAGCCTGAGATTCATATTCCAAATGTGTAAAAAATATGTCCAAAACTTGTGTTTTTATCCCAGGCATAACCAACTAAAAAGAGGTGGGAGCAAGCTATATAGAACTTCAGAAAGAATACAACCTCAAATACTAAAATTAAAAGAAAAAAGAAAATGAAAGCAAATTTGCTACACTGTACCATTTTAAATCACTGTAAAATATTCCACCTGGTTCATCAATACTGTTCTACCATGACCAGTATTTACAATCTCTCCCTGACAAGGAAATACCAAGATTACTCAAGGCACTAACACCCAATTTCAACTACTTATATCAAATATACATGTAGTATCCAGGGGTGAAAAGGGTAAATGAAAAGCATCAGATTATTTCAAAGAATGCTTCTTCGGGAATTGCTTGATGTCACCTAAGTAGACATCAAATTACACATCTTTTCAAATTACACATATTCTTGAGATAAAAATGTCAAACTATTTCTGTAATGTAAGATCCTGTGAGTAGACTATTATCTTTATTACATGATCACAGATAAAGGTTTTTAAAGCTGTGAACTATAATAAGGATCTTTAATCTCCATTAAATTATATACAAACTTTTTTATTACACCTTTAACAAAACAACCACCATTAAGAAAAGGGCCAGCCTCTCATCTCTCTCAGGTATGATTTTGGCAACATTTAATTACTTTTAAATTATATTCATACATCCCTAGTATAAAACATAGATAACACAGTAAACTATTATGCCAGAAAGTCATAGTATTAATATATAGTTATACTACATTTAGGTAATTACATATAATAATTTGGAAAGAAGCAGAAAATTGTGCCTTCAATGTATGACTCAAAATGGCAAATCAGTTAAGCCTTCAGAAAAAAAGTTTTAGATTTAACAATGCCAAGTAAGCTGTATTACTTAAACTTGGCAATCTTATCATAACCCCTATCCAACCTATTTGCAGAGAAGGCACAGAAACAAAGGTAACTGACTATTCAGGTTTCTGTTCATAAGAAAAAAACTATCTGCGGGCCAGGGATTTAGCTCAGTGGTTCTGCCGACTGCCCCGAAAGTGAAAGGACCCGAGTTCGATCCCCAGTACCAAAAAAAAAAGAAAGAAAGAAAGAAAAAAACTATCTGCAAACAGACTGACAAACTAGCCAGAGATAGCACATCAATGTTAAAGACAAACATTTAAAATTCAAGACAATGAGATACTGGAGATGTGACCATTCACTTCATCCTGAATCCTAGATTTCATTCTGTTGCCTCAATATCCTTATATATTAAATACCCTGTTTAAAACTGTCTGCTAAGAAATTTCTGAGGGCACATTCAGAAATTTTGAAACCAGGATTCTGTAATCCTTATGCTGTTCATAGCCAATGTAAGGCCACCAAAACACATGGACTTCACTGAAATAATCACACTGATTTCTTTTTATGTTCTCCTGCATAAGGAAAATTGCCTACTAACTGTTCTTTTTTCATGCCAGTCACACCCACTGAATCCTACTGGGTGTGCATACCCCAGAGCTCACTGCTGGGGACGCCTCACGCAGTTCATAGACACGCTTCGGTACACCTTTATTCCTACTGCAGCCAGGCCAGCTTGAATTAGATTCTTCTTTTTCTTCTCCTCTGGTATCTTGATTATAAGATTCCCAGGATTTGAACAAATCAAGTCTTTCTTCAGATTCAAAACATAGGAGGAGTGACTTAGCTAGAGATTCTAGTTCCCTGTGGCCAACTTGAGAAATTTTCTTCTCACAGCAGTCAAAAGAAGTGGAGGGCTCACTGAAGTCACTGCAAAGATCACTGACCAAGCTGCAAATCGTTTCAACACAATTCTTGAGGAGATGCACATCGCTGTAGCATCCTACACAAGAGAGAAAAATGTTTATTACCCCTTTCAGTTTTTATCAGGTATTTATTACTATTACATGACTGCAGATATATTTTAAGTCAAAGTGACCCTTTCAAGACAATTAGAAACTAAGATTATTCAGCTAATGTGCCAATCTGCTAGATAAGTACCTGGTTTTTCTAATTATGTAGGCAGGGGTGATTATATACATACCAGGTGGTAATTCAATTACACAAGTTCCTATATTGGAACTAATGTCAATGAAGTGACATTAAATGGATTTATTAATGACTTAGGCTAGGAAGGAAAAAGGAAAAATCTTTAAAAACCCTTGAATTATAGAATTCTGATTACAAATTCCACTTAGAGCATATACCTGTCAGTGCAGAAATAATAATTTGCATGATTTTCTCTAAGCAGTGGTTTAAGTTCAGGAATTTTAGGGCAAGATCAGTTATCTTCTTGGAATCTTGGTATCCAGAATCGTCTTCTTGTACTTGAGTTCTGAAGCTTTTCTGTGCAAATAAAATAATACTTTAAAAAAATACATAAACAAGCTACACGGCAATAAACTCAGTCAACCTTATCTTAACTGCCAGAATTTATCTTTAACAAAGTTTAATTTCCTTACCAATATTTATAAGCAAGACCAAAATACAATATTAACAATTGCTATCTTTCAAAAGAAATGAGAATTTCAATTAATTTTAAACTGAAATCCTATTATCCCATTACTTGAGAATGGAATAAAGCAACCATTCCATTTATTACCCGACCATAAAAAATACTTAATTTTTAAGAATTCAACTTTAAAACATCTCCTACTTATTTTATTTAAATAAAATATTTCAAGCCATAGAAATTACTCTCCTTTTAATGCATCAGTTATATAGTCTATATTTTTGTATTTATTTTTATTAAATAATTTGTCTAATTTACTTATATTTAAAATCTTGAGCACACTGATAGTTTTTAGCCCATGACAAAAGACTATCCAAACAAAAGATGACAGTTACTAAACCAATAGCTTAAGAAACAGATATAATATTAATATTAATAAATCTTTATACTGTATCTGTTACTAAAACTAGTAAGTTATGATATCTAAGAGACAGTAGCAAGAAAACTATTATATATGCTTCAATTAATCATAAACAAAGTAGTTGTCTGGCTCGGGATAAAAAATGAAATAAAAATATCTACAATTGAACCAAGTGAAATGATGAAATACACTAAACAAAATTTTAAAAAATAAAGGTCTCTTACTGTTTTCCATTCAGAAAAGATATTTTCAAGAGATTTGATTAATCCCATGGCATTTGCTTTCATCTGTTTGGTAACCTATAAAAAATGTTAAAATATTTGATTACACAATTACATCCTCAAACTGAATGTGACTAAAGTTCTAGCCTAAAAGCCAGAAGATTGAAGTTCTATTTAAGACTGCAAGTAAATCACTTGACTACCTAAATCATGTTAGAATTTCTTTCAAAATAAATTGCGCATTGATTTCTATACTACATATGTACACCTGCTGATGTGTTATAATAGTAACAGAATTTTCTTTTTATTTAAATGTTTATGAGTATAAAATTTCTAAAACTTCCCTTGGAATGAAGATAATATATGAAGCAAATACTATGCTCTAAGAATTTTAGAAATATTTTACTATTTTGGTTCTCAGTTACAGCCTTATGCTGCATATGGTAATGTTCTTAGATCCTAGGACTTAATTCCTAAAACATAAACATAGTGGGAGCCTCAGTCTAAATTTTAAACTTTTGTTTTCATACTGCTTAATGCTGCCCCCTAGGGTGCAGTTTCAATTGTCCGGCGATTCTGCCTAAGTATTGAAATGGCTTTACCCATAGAGCTTTTATGTAGGGCCAACTCAAATTTGCTATATATGATTTTTTTTTTTAATCTGAATTTGTTTTCCCCTAATAGCAAAATTTTCTTTGGAGTTATAATTTTAAACTTAATTATAGCTTTAAAATTGTAACTCCAAACCTTATATGTTTGAACCTATTTTCTATTTCTTTGGCTAGTCTATTTTTCTGCTGTAGGTTCAGAGTTTTTACTTATGTTATGTAAGTGTATCAACCCCCCACAAGGAATGTAAACATTATGTACTCCAAACATGTACTAATAAATAGAAACAGACAATGAGAATAAATTAAAAAGAGGGGGAAAAAAAGAATATGATAAGCTAAAATCCTACCATTGAAAAAAAAGTACAGCTATGGCAGACAGTAGAAAGAAAACTGGAGAAGGAGGAGCATGTTCTACAGGAAGATCCAGATAATATAAATTGTATACAAGATAGGCCTGAATTTTTTGTTTATTCCCTCAAAACAATAACAAAGCTAACATCTACATCTATTTTAACAGCTTACTAAGGAGCACAAACTCACATACAATATTTTCACCTCCATTTTCATTAACTTATTCTATACCTTTTTGTACTTATTGCCACCAAAAACTTTATTGCCAGAATTCCAATGATAGATAAAATATTTTAGTCCAATATGACCCTTTACTTAAAGTTGCATTAAAGAACCCAAATCAGCATCATGCCTACTGAAACATGATTAGACCCACAGTTCTTGGTCTAGTGACAATGTGAGGTTCTTTTGTTTTGTCAGAGAAAAAGAACACGTGCAAGCCAGATGCCAAGTACTGCTTTTAGCATTCTGAATACATTATTTCTTAGTCTCATATAGTCTTCAGAACAATTTTATGAAATAAGTATAATCATCCCCATTTTTATAATGGGAGAACTGAGGCATGGGTACATTATTCAAGGCTACATGGGAAGCAGGAGAGCAGCTTGCTGTCCATGACTTTCCGAGTCTGAGACAGTCTGTCTGACAGAGATGAGTCTCTCTACCCCTGCGGTCTGAGGAGAGGGATGGAGAATCGCCATGGCTTACACTGAGTGTTTCACCTCAGGTGAGGTAGAAGTACATTAATGTCAAACTTTTCCTAAAAAGAATGTAGCTTACTTCATGCCTTCCTGGAAACAGTCATCCAGTAGGATAGAAGATAGCAGCACTCCACATGATCTACTTTTCTAGATCAATCAATATGTATGTAAATGAGTAGACATACTAGTAAGGAAGATCTCAGGAGCCTAAATTAATGTCTATACATAGCTTCAGCCATTTGATTCCAGCAAGACAAACAGTATAGACAGGAAATGGTTTAAACAAGTTGTCACAAGAGTGTAAAACAGTCAATTCTCTGGAATTTAGTGTCATAGAATTTGAATTTTTATATTCCTAATCCCCACTTCACTAATAGTAACTCTCAATAAAGAAAATGAATGCATGATAATGGTTTACAAAACCCACTTATGTAGCATGATAAGTTTTGGAGTCAGACAATATAACATCTTGGCCTCAGGGCTTTATAGTTGGTTGTTAGTCAAGGCAGTAGAACTCACTGAAACCCATAGGAATAACAGTAACTCCTGCCTTCAAAAGTTGTGAGGTTCGCCATTAGTACATGTAAAGTATTCAGTCTAATAACTACTACAGGAAATAATTCAACAATGTGTGTAAATAGCTCACAACTGGTGACAGGTTTTATTACATATATCAGATGAAGAAACAAGGTGAGAGCACTGAATGATTAGCTAAATGGTAAATGTAAAGTGCTAGAGCCACATTTCAAATACTAGTCTTCTAATGACAAAACCCAGACCTTTCCTAAGGCACTCCTGTAAGACAGCATTGGTTTCATCCTTTAAATTAATGATAGTTAGCTGTAGGAAGGAAGCCGCTTTAGGAAGACACTGAAATCTCATTTGTCATGTGTCTTGATAATGAGATAAATGATGTTAATTCCTCTTGAAAAATATTTAGTTCAAGATAACTAGATCAACAAATGTTAGTTTCCATTCTTAGCTGAAAGAGTAGAGATTTAATATCTACTTGTAGTATATTAAAATAAAAAATTTTTTAAAAAGAAAAGAAAGAAAAAGACAACCGAGAGCAAATGCTAGGTGTTACTACCACACTCCATTCTTAGTATGTCTTCAGCCTGAACTCTCACTGAAACGTCTGTGTAAAACCATCAAAAGATTAATAAAGCAGAGGCTGCAGTAGCTCAAGAACAACGTGAGAAGAGATCACCATGACATCGCAATATCACCAGCATCTTTAATAATTCAACACAAAGTAGGATACACAAATTTCTAAAAATCAAATTCACTGTATTAAACTATTTTTTTAAAATCAACTTCATCATTATCTGGTACCATATAAGTACATTCTTTTATTCATCATACCTCATTTTGTGCACAATGCCTTAAGAGGTCTTGCTGAAGTTCTTTTGTTTTTTCCAGTCCAGAATCTAACAGAATCTTCATTCCTGAGCCTACACTATCACAAATAACATCCATGAATTCCTCCTAGAAAAGATATTTCAACATTAACTGGTAAATTTTTTTGCATTTTTTTAAAATTAGAAGGTAAATAAGCTTTATTTTCTGCTTACTTTAGGAACTCAAATACATTTTAGGTTTATTAAGTTCAACTGAAGCTAGAATAAAAGCAGTCTATTAGGAAATAAAGTTATCAAAATCATAATTTAGTGTTCCACATATAATATGTGATAAAGAATGTTTATCATTTTAGGCAGGACACTATTTTGCTAGAACACAGGAACATTCTAACATAATACTGTGTTTCATTAGCATAAACTAAAGCAAGCAAATATAAATTTCCTACCATCATAGTTTTTTAGGTGTTTATTGGGTAAGAAAACCTACTGCAGTAGATGGCTATCATCAAACCAAGACGCTAAAAGGTGAAGTAATATTTATAAAATCATCCGGTATATTTAACTAATTTAGACTGAAAAAATTTTAAGTTGTATTGTCAAACTATTAAAAGTACAAATCATTTTGAAAAATAAAATGAACTTGTCATGTTTAGTGACACTATCATCAGAAGCCTCTAATATTCTCTCAGATGAAGTCTTTCAAAACTAACATTCCTAAATTACCTGGCCACTGGCAGCCTTGTTGTTACTGTTTTCCAGAAAATACAGCTTGTTCCCTTTTAGAACTGCTAATTTTCCCACATACTTAACAGCCTGTTGTATACTTTGGATCACTTTCTTTTGAGCCTCTTTTACCATGGATGGAATATCCGAACAGCATCCCTATAAGACAAATCGATCAGTGTGTCAGACACATGAGATTATTAAGGGATGGTAGCACAAAGACAACATAGGGGCTGGGAATGTAGCTCAGCAGTAGAGCTTTTCTTTTTTATGTTCCCTGCTCCCCTCACTGGCTCTTAAAATACTTCTCTTGGCCTGCTTTTTGGAAGATGCTAATCATACTGCCACAAGCTAAGGATTCTCAAACCACGTTTCCAAGAGAAAATGTAGTCACTAACACCAGCTTTGCCAGCTTCAGGGAAGTCTGTTATGAGCTGAACTCCACTAGCCTGCCAGTCCCGAGTCTCCATCCTTGAGGCCTTATATAAAACATTTCCCAGCTTACAGGTTGAAATGCTCTTCCCAGAAAATGAAAAGAAGGAAAGAAACCACATGCCAGTTACTCTAACAGGTATTTTCTTTCTTTTATTATTTTTTTTGTGGTACCAGGGGGACTGAACTCAGGACCTTGTGCTTGCGAGGCAGGTGCAGCACCACTGAGCTAAATCCCTGGCTAACAGGTACTTTCTTATAACAGTATTTCATCTGGTAATCACAGCAACCCTGCCAGGTAGGTAATGCTATTTTTATTTCCAAGTGAGAAAATGGGAGACTCAAATTGAGCAGTTTGCCAAAGGATAAACTAATTCAGATGATGAAGTTCTGTCCAAACATGTAAGTAGAAGCACCATATGGTAATTTCTAGAAACTTCCCTTAAAGAAGACACAGTTGGTTTTTTCCTTCTTTGTCACTTCTTCTATCTTGCTGCACTGAGCTCAGATGGAGGTGCATCACAGTGGACCATGAAATCAAGGGCCATGCTTTAGGTCCAGCGAGGGGTGGGCTGGAAGGATCCTAGAACCTTTGGACTTTGTGAAACAAGCGTTCATGCCTATCTCTAGCTTTTATGTGAGACAAAATAAACTTGCATCTTGCTTCTTCTTCACAGCCATATCCACTGCTACCCGATACAAGGTAAGCAAGAAACAAAATTATTCTTCTTGCCTCTATGTCACCAGGCTTATAACTAACTCAGCATGAACTGGAATCAGTAGCCAGAGGAAGACTTGGTCTGTCTTCCCAATAGCAAGACTGCCTCGGTTCAAATCCAGCTCTATCACTTAATAGTTAAGTGATAACTTAAGCACCATGATAAAAAGCACCTAAAGAAATTCATGACCACCAAATCAGCATTTCAAAAAATACTCAAGGATATTCTGGAAAGAGACAATGAAGCTAACAATGCTAAAAGTCCCAGTAGAATGAATGCACCAGGCAGGGTGAGCAATTAAGCAGAAGGGAAAGGGAATCAGCTACAGTAAAATAATACAATAATAAAGAATAAGTCAATACCTGTAAGTTATAACCATCAATGTGAATGCTCTTAATTCACCAATCAAAAGACACAAATTAGCAGAATGGATCAAGAAACAAATCCAACAATATCCAGTATAAAAAAAACACACACACACATTTAACCCAAAAAGAAATTCATAGACTGAAAGTCAATGAACTAGAAGAAACTCAGAATAGCAAAAGCATTTCTGGGCAACAACAGCAAAGCAAGAGGCATCACAATCCCAGATCTGAAGTTATATTACAAAGTACCAGTGATAAAGCAGCATGGTATTGGCACAAAAACAGACATGTGGATCAATGGGACAGAGGATACAGAAACAACCACAGATTCGACTACTTTCATCATCGACAAAAACGAAGGGGCCAAACACATACACTGAAGAAAAAGAGCCTCCTTCATAAATGGTGCTGGGAAACTTGGCTATCCACATGCAGAAGACTGAACCTAGGCCCACATATCACTATGTATTAAACTAAAATCAAAATGGATCAGAAAGAATCTGCTTGAAGATAAAACAGGTAAAACTCTTGACAGCACAGACATAGGTCAGGACTTTCTAAAAAGAACCCAATGGCACAGGAAATACAACCAAGAATCAATAAATAGGATCACATCAAATTAAAAAAACTTCTGCACAGCAAAGGAAATAACCAACAGAGTGAAGAGACAACTTACAAAAGGCAAAAAAATTTCTGTCAGCTACACCTCAGAGGATTAATACCTATAATATATAAAGAACTTAACGATGTTAAACCCCCAAAATAAAAGACCCAATCAAAAAATAGGCAACTGAAATAAATAAGACACTTCTTGGAAGAAGTACAAATGGCCAATGAACACAGAAAAAAATCTCTGCCCATTAGAGAAGTCCAAATTAAAACACACCAAGACTCCATCTGACTCCAGAAAGAATGGCTATCATCAAGAAATCAAATAATAAGTGCTGGCGAAGCTGCGAGGGAAAAAAGGAACCCTTCTACATTGTTCATAGGTATATAAATTAATACAATCACTATAGAAATCAGTATGGTGATTCCTCAAAAACTAAAAACAGAAATTCCATTCAATCCATATATTCCCTTTCTAGGTATCTTCCCAATAGAGTTAAAGGGATATTACAGTGACACACGCATACACATGTTCATAGCAGCACAACTCCTATAACTAAATCTTGGAAGCAGCCTTTATGTCCATCAACAGATAAATGGATAATGAAAGAGGTATTTATACACAATGGAGTACTATTCTGCCACTAAGAAGGATAAACTTGAGTCATTTATAGGAAAACTGATAAACCTTGAGACCATAATATTAAGTGAAATAAACTAAATACAAAACCTTAAATATTGCAGTTTCTCTTATATGAGAAATCCAAAATACATATAAAGAGCAAAAGAAAAGACAGGTAATAGGAAGTAGGGATATACAGTAGATCATTTTCAAATTTGAAGGAGATCAAGAGATGGAGGGAACAGGGATGAAGAGGAGGCAGCAGATGACAAACGAGTTGAGATGTGTTTTATACACGAAACAGCTCTACAAGAAATGTGATTATGTACTTCAATCTACGTAGGTACTAACAAAAATAACTTACTGAAAAAATAAGTTTTCTAATAATAATAAATCAATTTACCTGCAAAAATAACTGTAAGTAGCTTCCCAGTTCTTTAACTTCTTGTCTCAATTCATCTTCCAGTTTTGCTATGCTGGTAGAAGGTAGAAAATCGTTCACCCAGTGTTTGATTAAAACCACAAGTTGTTCAAAAGCACAAGCAATCTGGATGGTAAGTGACTGGACTGCTCGATCAGAAGAGAACACTTTGAAAGGAGGAAGAAAATTACTGGAAGAAATAATCTCCAAATAAAAGAACTCACATATAAACACCATCAAAATATTTTATCACAGTCCATAGATGTCAGCCAAATGTGTCAAATAATCATTCAAAACAAAGCTTAATGTGCAGAAAACAATCATCATGTGAGTTAGTAAAGCAGTGGGATTGCTTACAGTTATCTTGACTTTCTTCATCTTGTTCTTCATGAGCTTTGGAGATGACAAGCAGCCCATTATAAATTTTTAGAAGTTTACTCATCAGGCTATCTGCTATAGTTTTTTCTTCATCAAAACTGTATCTAAGAAAATCCACTGATGAACCAATCAATTCTTTGCATATTCCAGGAAGAAATGATTCTGCTGAAGTTGAGTAAATGGTGCTTGATTTCTCCATTAAACCTACATTGCCAGAATACAGCCCTCTTAAACCTAGTTTTCAGGTACCATATATTCAAACATATAGAATAAAATCAATAAATTCAAAGTAAACTATTCTAATTTCAATATGCCTAAGTGAAAAGTTCCTTATAGTTATCAAATCACTTCTCAACAGCATCAGCTCTTAGGTCAAGTGGCACCTCAACCATTATGTGTGTAACAAACATCCAAATATTCCATTTATCCTTTGGTTTAATCTTCTTTATTTATTTTTTGGTAGAGATTGTTTCTGTAACACCTAAGAAACTATAAATTGGAAATAATGGCAATAACATAAAGTGAAATTAGAAATCTGATTAACACATAACCTGGAAAGAGAGGCAACAATATACTATAAAAATAGGAATCTCTCAGAACTCCTACTCTAGAATAGTTCCTTCTCATGGTACACTATGGTCTAGATAGGTGAAAGTCTATTAATTATCTACAGTTAGTACAGTACATCTCCAAGAGAGCCTTTCAGAAAGCACTGTCTAAAACAGAAGTAAATGGAAAGGATTGAGAATTCATTCAGATCCTCCATAAATAACTTTATCCTGGAGTACTAAGATGTGAGTATAATAATTCTCACTTAATATGGGAGATTAGTTTTCCGATCCAGTCCACAGGTGATTAAAAGTACCAAACAAAAAGGAAAGTAGAATAAAGTTTATAAGTTAATAGAGTGAGGAACATTAAAAGTCTAGAATAGTGGTGGCAAACCTATGGCACACGTGGTTCAGCAGGCTATTTGTATCATTGAAAGCTTTAAAAGGTTGACCATCACTGGTCTAGAACAAAGAAAAGAATCTGGAAAAAAAAAGCTACCAAACCCAAAGCTACAGGGTAACAAACTTCCCCTGAAAATTACTTTTGCAAAACATTTGACTCTCAAATAGTATTGAATAAGTAAGTTGCTACTAGATATGTATCTTTATTTTGCAAGTAGATATATAAGCATATTTTGATCTACCTTAGTAGTATCATAATTACTTTCCTAAAAGATAATTTTATGATTAAAAACAAGGAAACTCAAATTTCTTAGTCAAGATGAGATATAATTCCTTTTATGGCTATTTATATTTGGGACTATCATCAAAAAATTAATACATTACTAAAAACATTTTACTTACTAAGATATAACTTACACACTATAAAGTACACCATATCTTATAGCTTATTGTTCTTTGCATATGTATATGTCTCTATACCCCAACTTAGAGCAACATATGTTAACACTCCCACTGGCCCCTCCCAACAAGACTCCTCCTCCTGGTCAGTATCCCCCAACAGAGGTATCCACTATTCTAATTTGAACTACCACTGCTTCTGTCACAATAGATTAGTTTTGCTTGTTCATAAACATCATCTAAATAGAATTATACAATATATATTCTTTTGTATATGGCTTCTTTCACTTAACATTATGTTTTGGAAATTCATCCAGGTTGTTGTGTGCATCAGTCATTACTTTTTTTTATTGTTGTGTAGTAGTACAATGTTACAGGTAGTAAGATGTTTGTTTTTGGTTTTTGTCCAGGCTAGCCTTCAACCCCTAGGCTCAAACACTGCTCCTCCTCAGCCTCCCAAGTAGCTGGTACTACGAATGTCCACCACTGTGCTCACAAGTAATTTTTAAACTATTACAGGTAATTACACATACAAATTTAATATATCCTTTCTTTTATGGGTAAATTAACATTATAATGAATATTAAAATAATTATTCAAAGTAATAATTCCTATACCTTTTTCTCTAAACATTTTTTCCATTCCTTTCTTTCCCTTTTTTCCCTGTCTCCCTCTTTTTCTTCTTTTCTTTTTTCCTTCCTTCCCTTCTCCCTTCCTCTTTTCTTTCTTTCCTTTCTTCTTTTTCTGGTACTATGAATCAAACCCAAGCCTTTTAAAATATATATCAGAGTATAGAATTTTACAAGTAGAAGAGGCCATCTATCTAATCCACACTCCTCACTTTACAGAGGAAGCAGAAGCTTCTAGGAAATGAGATGATTTGCATTAGAACACAAAATAAGGTCATGACAGAGCCAGGACTTGGTCCTTTTCTCACCAAGAAAATTTGATGAAAAAAAATACCTGATGAATGTGAAGAAGACAGATTATGAATTTGGTGGACTTGTATATCATGTAAACAATCAGAAATTCTTCTATTCTTCATCAAACTCCTGCTCCTGAAAAAAGATAAATCAAAAGATGAGCAGTTATAAACTACATGGACTGATCTTATCAAGGTTTATTTTTAAATTCTCTAAAGAAAATGGATATGTATGAATGTACTTTCCATCAACAGCTAAATTCATCACTGAGCAAGAATTTTACTATTTGCAGGCATTATTCTAAGCATATAGTTAATTAAGTAGGACAAATATTTATTGAGCACTTGTATTTGAAGTCTCTGAATTCTGTGCTGAAACACAGCAAAACATAACATCTGGCCTCACTAAGTTTACACTCTAAAACAAAAAGGCAAAGTCAGTCAGATAATTACAATAAAGAGATGAGTATTCGGAAGGCATAACATGCTATGGTAGACCCAGGAGAAGAACTTGGAGTTCTGGCCCAAGGAGTTGGGAGGTTTTTCTGAAACAATGACTCTGAAGCATGAGCCAGAATTAGCTCAACCTGTGGGGAAGAGGTTGGGAAGCACAGGACAGTGTCTCAGACAGACACAGGCACCAAGATATGGGAAGATCTGGTGATAAATGAAAGCATTGTACATACAGAAAACCAAACAAAGTTGAGGACTGCAGCTATGATGCGGCAAGAAATGAGGTTGGGTGGAGGGCAAGGGCCAGCCTGAGGTTGATCTCATGTGCCAGTTAAGGAAGCTTGGATTTATCCTGTGGGAATTACCCAGGGGAGGACTACAATCAGGGAAATTATCTGGGAAAGTACACATCAAAGTAAATATCAGTGACACTGTACACAAACCACACCTGAGAGGTGTAGCAGCAGCACAAATGGAAGCAATGATTCTATCCCTGATTGCTCTTTTTGCACCATCTTTTCTCTCAGCCTATAAAAATGCGGAAATCTCAGAGTGTGACTGGCTATTTAGCCCTTACTCAGCTTCTTCAAAAAGGAGCCTACTCTTTCTACTCTTGGAAGCAGCAGCCCATGTCCACATTGCCATTCATCTATCAATTTTCTAAACTCCAAGGCCAGCTCATTCTGTCAATGAACTACTTGAGAAGTGACCTAGATCTAAATACAGTTGATTCTGTGGTGTCTTTTCCTAACAGAACTTTCTACTACTGTTGACCACTCAAAGAAAAATACCATTTGTTGAATAGATTGTTAAACCAAAGCATTTTATCATTAGTAGACTGTTTCAAACATAATCCCTTGCCTTGTGAATTCCTATAACACAGAAATATGAATGATAAAAATGAAAGGAAAACAATTCTCAAATACAGTACCACAGTTTTTATAATTAGGGGTGAAATGAAATGGTATATTATTATAATAAACCTAAACTGGGAAAACTCTTATTCTTGTGACATTATCGTAGTTAAACAATGTTTCAACCCAAATAAAGAAGATGCTTGTCACATTCCTTTCAAAGATTTTTTACTTAACCTCAGAAGAAAATTTACTTTTAACTGTCAACAGTACATATCAAAATTTATAGGCAGTGGAACCAGTCTATTTTATTGCAGAAGAACTGTGGCATCTCATTGCCCAGTAGCAGTTCTATAATTAAGAATCTGTCAGTATTTCCATTACCTGCAGGCATTCTCAGAGTTTGCAATTCTGTCATAAACATCCTTACAAGGCTGAAACTTCATACACAAGGTCTCAGACTAAGAGCAACTCATTTTTTAAAAAATATGATACTTTTAAATTATAGAAGTTCTCAAAAATATCCCTGCCAAATGAAAACAATTAATTCAAAATCTTATAAAAGTTTTGATTTTTCAGTAACATTCTAAATTTTTGTTGATTATCTACTTAATCTAGAAGTCAGCAAGAAATAAAAGTCACCAACATTCAATAGGTTAAAAATTTAGTGCTCATTGATTATTAGTGCTCATACAGTGATACACAATCTAAGTACATAAGGTTTATACCTTCTTATAATGAAAACAGTAAGAAACCAGCAATCCTAAAATCCAAAGGAATTCATAAATCTTTCTCTAATGAATTTGCTGGTCTGGCTTAAATTGTTGGAACGTTTGTATTATTCTAGGTTGGCTTAAGTATCCTAAGCCCTGTCCATCCATTCCACCCAAGGACCATCTTTTAGTTCACTGTAGTGCCAGAGCCCAATTCTAATAAATCACCTGTAGACAGCACTGTTTACTGGTATTGGACCAAACATATTATCTTCTCTGTATTCTAAGGATTTAATTGTATATATCTGTTAAACACTCAACAAAAGTTCAAGCTACTATTTTTGAACACTTACCCACTGTAGTAGTAGCTTTATATACATTATCGCTACCCTCATAACAACTTTGTAACATTAGCATCATCAGTTGTGTTGCAGATCATAGTGGCCACAAAAGAAGCAGGAGCAGCAGCAGCTGCTGTATACATCTGACCTTACTTAACTTTATAATAAATCCCAGGGAGGAGGGGCATATTACTGTCTCCAATCTAGTGATGAGAAACCTGATGCCTCGAGATGTGTGGTCATTTGTTTATGACTGCATTGAGCATAGATTAAAGCCCAGAACTCTGATACTGGAGCCTGTGACCTTTTTACAATACTACACTGCAGGAGATACAGATGGGTTTCCTACACTGATGGAGTTCAGAATCTGTTTGGAGAATATGCTTTGTATTTCATTCGGGATAATGCTTGTGTTGTCTTAGCAACTTCTTACTGAAGGTTAGGATTAGCATGGAACAAATAAAGCAGACATCTAGAAAAGTTTATTACAAAGTAGCTCCATCTCTTTGAGAAAACAAATGAGTTAAAAATAAGCATGGTCAAAAACAAGAGGCCTAAAAAAGTTTAGAAAACCAAATGGATCCTAAGCTGCAACTGAAGGCAAAGAAATTTAAAACGAACAATTTAAACAGAAAGATGCCACTCTCATTTGCAAAGGAGAAGCAACATGATAGAGCAGTTAAGAAAACTAGGAGCTTTGAAGTCACCCACACTTTCATCTGAGTGTCAGCTCTTTTTCCCATCAGCTCTGTGACTTTGGACACATAACTGCTTTTATTCTGTTTCTTCATCTGTAAAATGGGGGTTAATGACACTGCTCACTTCATAGATTTGTGGTGAATACCAAAAGAGATTCATACTTTGAAAGCATTCAGTAAATGGTCTTGTTAATGATGATGCCTAAATCCCCTCTTCCAAGTTTCAGACCTGAATATATATACCTACCTACATGTTCCCTGGGAACCCCAAATTGATCATGTTCAAAAATAAACCTACCCTCCATCTCAGGGAACATGATTTTCCTCCAGTTAGTCATGGAACTTAAAACCCAGCATCATCCTTGAGCCTTTCAACACTTCCAAACCCATAGTCACCAAGTTCCATTGATTGTGCACCTCAATTGCAAATATGTAAAAAGCCTGATTTCCCATCCAGTCCTTCGGCCTGCCATGGTCCAGGTTTTTATTAACTCCTCTGCCTCTGCTTTCCCCAGTTCCTGGTCCAGGAGGATAGGGAGTATTTTGCATTCATTTTTTTTCCTCAGGACATAGCAGAGAGAAGTCATTGCAGAAATATTTGCTTAAAAACAAGCAAAAGGGCAAACCTGCTCCAAGTCCAAGGCCTGCCTGTCTGAAGTGCTTTGTCTCTGCAATCTGGGCAGCTGAGGGCTAAGCAGAACTAGATCTTCCTTGAACACCATCTCTTCACTACAGAAGTCTTTTATGTTTGAAGTTAATAAGCCACATTTGTCATTTATAGATGTTCTCTATTGCCATGATTTATTCTTTTGGGGTGCTCATACTAACTCGACTGCATTTAAAATTCTGTAACTTACAATAAAACATTATGTAATTTGCCAAGTTCTTAAGAAAGGGTAATTTAACAGCAACACTGTTCTTTTTGTAGGAAATTAGATTTACGCTTCTTTAAATTGCTCTTAAAATTTATGATAAAATACTGAACATTTTTGTTCCTCTAACAGACTGATAAGTAATTCAATGCTCTAGTAACTTAATCACTAATGTACTATTCCACTCATATTTTTAGGTTCCTGTCACAGACTTGTCCATCACAACACAGTTTCTTTCTTCCTCTCTCTCTCTCTCTTTGTCACATGTAAATATCCAGAACAAGAAAACCAACAACAAAAGCATTATTACCTCCTTCTAGAAAATGAAGAAACTGGTGCATTTGTAATATCAGGTTCCCATTCATCTTCAGGATCACAAAAAATATCATCACCTTTGTTACTACCATTATTCTAAGAAAAATAAAATATATAGTTTCTATTAATTCTGAATGAAAAAATATCTTTAGCAACTAAGGAAAAATGTTAGCCTTGTTACATTTAAAACATAAAATTACCCAAAGTACAGATTATCTGATAAAAGTCTTTTTAAAAAAATCATGATCCTGATAAAATGTTTTAAAACTATCACATGCTAGGGATTATATTAAGAGACCTATTAATAAAATCAATAAATCATTACATACTTCAAAAATAACAAAGCTGAAATTAGAAGATACAGTAAAAACAAAAATAATACAATCCTCACAGGAAATGTAATCATTTCTTAGTTGAATATATTAATCATGATAATAATCTATATTTTAACTATTTAAAACATGCCAGTTACAATTCTATCAAAATACTATACAGAGTTTAATTCAGAGAAAGTATAATTATGTGGAAAAATAAGTAAAGAACTGCAATGAATGGTTGAAAGTAGGAAGTTAAGTGAACCGTGAAGAAGACTCTCCCACTAGGGTTTAATGTGTACTTTAAAGCAAGAAAGATCAAATGCCTTCAGTGCTGTTTTCAGTTGTTTTAAATATATAAGCAATTCACATTCACTGTAGAAAAGTTGGAAATTGTTAATACATAAAAGCACAAAGAACAAAATTAAAACCACTCATAAATCCATCATTTAGAGAAAAACACTGTCAATTCTTTGGCATGATACAATTAAATATTTTTGGATTTTCTGTTATGAATATATTTTGCATTCCTAGAATAAATCCTACTTGATCATGATTAAGTATTCTTTAAGTTTGTTCTTGGTTTTACTAATTTATTATTTTTATAACTGTTCATATTAAGATTGATTTATAATTATCTTCTGAATCATCTTTTCAGTTTTTGTGGGTTTTGTTTGTTTCTTATCAGTTATTCTAGTACTGAGACATTCTATAATAGTTAAAGCAAAAAGGATGTATCTGTTTTTGGAAATTTAAAAGAATATATATAAAACTTACTGGAATTAGCAACTTTTTCCTCTCCAATTATTTTTTTAATCTTTCTTTGAAGCCAGCTTACTGACAAACTTTTCAAATTATTGCACGGTTATTCCTCTGTTAAGTCACCTTTCATAATTTACTTCTTCCCAGAAAGTCTTTTCTTTCTAGAAACTGTCAAACTTAATAGCATAAAATTTTACAGATAATATAACTTTTATTATTTTCTAGATTGAAAATAGCATAAAATTTTACAGGTAATATTATTTTTATTTTTATTATTTTATATTATTTTCCAGATTGAGTTAAATATTTAACTTATTTTCATTTTTCTACTAAATAAAGCATTAAGGAAGCTGGACATAGTGGTACATGACTACAGTACCAGTACTCTGGGAGGCTGCAGCAGGAGAGTCACAAGTTCAAGCCCAGTCCAGTCAACATAGCAAGACCCTGTCTCAAAATAAAGGGGTGGGAATGTAGCCCAGTGAGAAGGCCCTGGGTTCACTTCCCAGTACCATGAGGGAAAAAAGGTATTAGAGCTATAATTTGGCAATTTCCTCTAAATTTTAAATATAAATCTTTATTATTATCATCTAATTAGTATAGAACATAATTCCACTAGAGTCACATTATTTAAAAATGGGATATTTGACAAATAGTAGCAATGCAATAATTTCAATACATGTTGCAATTATTTAAGGGATAAATAATAATTTTGAGCAAAATTAACTTTATACTTCTCACAAAACATCTTATAAATTCTATGATTCAAAGATATAAACTTCAAAATGAAAAAGCAGAGACTTGAACAAGGTTTCAGTAAGATATCTGAATTGATAGACTCAGACATACCAAATTAAAATGCCTGTATAACAAAATGAAACCAACAAAAGATCACATAATCAGGACAAAAATGTATATGATAAATACTTTAAAAGGCTTATTACCAAATTATGTAAAGAACTTGTATAAATATAATAGTTCATTACTCATATTTCACTTAATAAAAAAATTCAAAGTGTCATGAACATTTATGCATAAGGAAACAGAGTCAAACCCTCAGATGCACTAGTTATTAAAATACAAATTGAAGCAAACTGGTAACATTAGCAAGTAATAACATTTCTAGCAAGCAATTTATCAGCAGTAAGCATCAAAGTATAATTTTTAAAAATTCATATTTTGGTACCATTTTAGGAAGCAGAAGGCAAGGAAATAAGATGTTAAAAACTAATATAAGGCCAAAGATTTAGCTCAGTGGTGCCACGCCTGCTTGGTAAGCAAAAGGTCCTAAGTTCAATTCCTGGTACCAAAAGAAAAAAAAAAAAAACCCTAATATACACAGAGATACTTTTGGTGGTGACCATTAAAAGCACCAAACAACTAGAAACACACAAAGCATAGCAAAAGAAAACTGAAACTGTAAATGTATAAAAATACACAATCACTAGGATAGGAAGATAGTTTCTGAGCATGTAAATTGCTTTATGTCTGTCAAATTTCTTCCTCCCTTAACCAGAAATGCAAAGTTTAAAAAAATACAAATATAACTCAATAAATTCAGCACTAATTTTCTCAATCACACTTATATTTAAATCAATAAAACCCCATTTAAATACATGCAAAAATAAATACACATAATTGTTAATACTGGTTGAGTAACTGATAAATTAATTGCCTCTTGTTTTCCAAATTTTCTTCACCGAGAATATCACTTTTATATATTTTTATGTTAAAAAGCTTATAGAGATTTTAATAATATTACATACCTCATAAAGTTCTTTCATTGCTGCAAGTTTATATTCAAACTTTTCGAGACTCCAGAAAGTTGACACCCCAAGCTGCAGGTTACGAACTCGAATAGAAGTCTCAGAACTACCTTTATCTGATGCATCATGTCTGAAAGAAAATCAAATGAAAATGCTTATTCAAAACATATACAACCAAGGGCCGGGGATTTAGCTCAGTGGTTTCGCCGCCTGCTGTGCAGGAGCAAGGACCAGAGTTCGATCCCCAGTACCAAAAAGAAAAAAAAAATACACACACACACACACACACACACACGCACGCACAACCAGGTGTGGTGGCGCGTGCCTATAATCCTAGCATTTGGGAGGCTGATGCAGGAGGACTGCCTTGAGTTCAAGGCCAGCCTGAATTATATATAATGAGACCTTGTTCCAAAAAACTGAAAGAAATATACAATCATTCATATTAAGAGTTGAACAAACCCATAAAAATTCAGTCCACTGATTAAATAATTCCATAGTTAAGCATTTTTATTTAGTAGTAATCATGTCTAATACATACCATATAAAAATAACTTCTCACATATAAATTTTTTAAAAAAACAAATGTATTTCTTTTAAAAAGTGGAATGCAGTTGTGCCAAGCATGATGGCGCATGCTAATCCCAGCACTCAGGAGGCTGAGCCAGGAGGATTACCGTGAGTTCAAAGTTAGCCTGAACTACACAGTGAGACCCTGTCTCAAAAAAAAAAAGAAAAAAGAAATGGAATGCAGGAATGGGGATATAGCTCAGTGGTGTAACTAGGTTCAATCTTCAGGACCAGAAAAAGGGGAATGGTGATAAATTTTCAAGTCAAAAGAAAAATCAGTAAATTCCTAAAACATCTAAAATTATTCTGCTTATAAATATACTTCTATGTTATTCATTGACATCTCTTTTACTCCAAAATAGTGTCACTGGGGACCTGTATATGCTCTTTCCTAGACGGCCACTACAGAGCAGACTTTCAAAAAACTAAATGTTCTTTTAAAAAATCACGTCAGTCAACTAGTTTAAAACAAAGAACTGCTTTATAATCAGGATAATTAAGTACTCACCTGCCAAAAACATAGTGTTTTTTTAACTTGCCGCTGATGGCATTCGCTTCCTGAATCATCATTGAGACTTTCATGGAGCTCCAATTTGGCTGAACTAATACAAAGCACGTAAGAGGATTCAAAACACATATATGACCACTAATATACTCAAGAGGCAGAACACTTCCAGAAAAAAATGATTTTAAATGAATGGTTTAACTGTATACCCCAGATAAGAGTGATAGTTGAGTGATTTTTTCAACCTTCACTCTCAAAATAAAATATTCTTCATATAAAATGAGGTCTCTCAATTAGAAGGATGGTAGAAAAATGAAATTGATATCAAGAGGATAAGGATGTTCTAAGAGAGGAAATAGCAGACAATCCTTTTCTAACATACTTAAAGATATTTTTCCTAAATTTCTAAATTTCCTAATTTCTAATACAGGCTTGCTTACACTAGAAGTATATCCTTTTTTTAAAAAAAAAAATTGGCCAGCAGCTATTTTTGAGGGACATAAAAATAAAATGGAAACAAAGTATGGTGGCACACACCTGGGATCCCAGTACTTGGGAGGCTGAAGCAGGAGGATTTCAAGTTTCAAGGCCAACCTGGGCTATATAGTGAGTTCAAGGCCAGCCTGGACTACAAAGCAAGAACCTGTCTTAAATAAGGAAGGGAAGGAAGAGGGACAAGAAGGAAGAAGAGATGGGGAGGGTGAGGGGCAGGAGAGGAGGGAAGGAAGGACAAAGGGAGGGAGGGGAAGAGAGGGGAAGGAGGGAAAGGAAAGGAAAATAATTTAGTCTAAAATTCTAGTTTCCTAATTTAAAGTTAAGATTTTTGGTGGGTTTTTTGTTATTTTGTAGGATTGTTATTTGTTTGCAGTGCTGGAGATTGAGCTCTATAGCCTTGTGCATACTAAGCACATACTCACTCTACCACTGACCTACATCCCTAGTCCTTAAATTTAAGGTTTTATCATAAATATTTTCTATACTGCTGAGTCAAACTTAAAATTAGTATTCCATTAAAGATATTTTTTGGAAGGATAAAACTCACTATTCAAATGGGAAAAAGAAGCAAGTATTCATTCTTAGGTACTGTTCTACAACCTGAGCAAAATAAAAGTGTATGAATACAAAATATCTCTTGCAACAGATAAAACAGTACTAATATTTTCAAAGTTATTTTAAAATATTAGTTATAGTGAGAATACAACAGAATACCAAATATTCTTGGGAAATAACTGAATCTGAATCTAACAGGCCTGAAGATCTAACTTTTCTAGGGAACACAGAGACAGAGGAACCTGTTGAACAGCACTACAAGACACAGGCAGCAAAATTCAGAATCTGGGAAACTGCAGGGCAAAGAATTTGACTTCCTCAACAAATGAATTCCAACATGTAAGACAGAAAGAAGAGCTAACTGACCGACAAAAGAAATAGTGTATAAAAGCCAGGCCAAGCCATGTGTGGTGGTGTCTGTGTGTAACCCTAGCACTCTAGGAGACTGAGGCAGGAGGATTGCAAGTTAAGCCAAACCTCAGCAATGAGTGACAGCAAAACCCTTACTCAAAATAAAAAAATAAAAGAGAGCCAGGGGTGTTGCTCAGTGTAATGGTCCTGGATTCAATCTCCAGTACTGCTAGCTAGCTACTATCAAGTTAAATATATACATACATACGTACATACATACCAAGTGGGCTTGGTGGTATACACTTGTGATGAAGGCTGAGGCAGGAGAATCGCAAGTTCAAGCCCAGCTTGAGAAACTTAGTGAGATCTCGTCTCAAACTAAAATAAAAACGATGTGATATAACTCAGCAGTTAAGGGCTTGCCTGGCATGCAGCAGGCCCTTGGGGGTCATCCCCACTACAGGGTGGAATGAGAGGCATACCTACCTAACAAAATGTGTGGATCATGTTTGTATCTTGATTCAAACAAACTAAATATAGAAGAAATATTTATGAAACAATCCAGGAAATGTGTTGGCTTCTTTGTGTTTGAGAAAGGATCTTGTTATGTTTAGCTGGCACCAAACTTGGCCCACCTCAGCTTCTCGAGTAGCTGGGGCCACTGTACGTGGCTCTAGGAAATTGAAATACTGACTAGATATTTGATGAGTGTAAGAGATTATGAATATTTTAGGTATAATATCATGGTCATGTTTAAGAGTGACAGGAAAAGAGAAAAAGAGAGGAAAAGAGTTCTTATCTAACTTGGAGATTCAAATGACATGGTGTGTTAGATTTGATTCAAAATAGTCCAGAGAAGCAAGGTGATTGAGTACAAGAGCAACAAGTTTAAACATGCATTGTTAAGTGAATGAGGGTTTACTGTAATAATCTTTCCACTTTTATAGTTTCTTTGAAATTTTTCATCATGAAAAAAGTCCAACCTCCTAGTACCACCACACTGGGGGCTAGAATTTCAACATGAATTTGGAGACCACATGAATACTCAGTCGATAGTACAGTACTAATATAAACAAATATCCTAAAAACTAAACATTCTAAAATTTTTTTTAAATTTTAAACATTTAACATTTACATTTAAAATTTAACATTTTTAAAAATTTATTTACATACAGAAAAGTCAACAACATCTAAAATAAACCATTTAAAATATATAAAGGCAAGTAACTCAAACATTTTAGTAATTATGTTATATCTATGAAGATACTTAAATTAGGAAAATGTTTGTTAAAATAAACATATACTCACTTGTAAAAGTTTTATCCCTGTTACTCCGATTCTGCTGTAGAATCTGTACTTCCTTAGCAATTTTTTGCTTTTCAGCTTCTAAAGCTTCCAGAATTTTTGCATGACGGATCCTGTGGTCTTCTAAAGCCTAAATATTCATTCATATAGACATACACATGAGAACATGCAAAAAGACATTTTTTACTATTTACATATATGTATTCCATTATAACATTTTGTATACCCTAAATTCATACAATAAGATCAATTTTTAAAAACCAATCAATAATGTTAGCACATTATTATTAGACTTCATTTTACAGTATTTTCATTATACATACATGGTTAACATGTTTTATCAAACATGAAAAGCCTACAAAATGATTTATAAAATGTCTTAATAATGTGATTTTACCCACAATAAAAATCAGTAGGAATTTTTGAAGGTACAATCTTTTTCTTCCAGACCCAGAATGGCAAAAGTAATTCTAAGTAAAAACAGCAAACCAGGGGGTCTCACAATCCCAGACTTGAAGTTATATTTCAAAGGTGATAAAAACAGCATGGCACTGGCACAAAACAGACATGGGATGAATGAACACAACAGAGGATGAATAAATAACCCCAAGCATATTCAACGATTTGATCTTTGATAAAGGAGTAAAAAACATACACTGGATAAAAGTTAGTCTTTTTAATAAATGGTGTTGGGAAAACTGACTATTCACATGCAGAAAAATGAATCTAGACCCATATCTCTCACCAGGTACTAAACTGAAATCAAAATGGGTCAAGGATCTAAATGTTAAAACAGAAACAACCTGGTAGAAGATAAAACAGGTAAATCTCTTGGAGTCATAGCCATAGGTACAACTTTCTGAACAGAACCCTGTTTGCACAGGAAATAGTACTGAGAATCAATAAATGGGGTTATATGAAATTAAAAGGCAAAAGAAACAGCCAACAGAGCTAAAAGACAACGTAAAGAATGGGAAAAAAATTTATAGAGAATATTAATATTATTCATTAATTTATTAATATTAATATCTAGAATAAAGAACTCAAAAAACTTAGGACCCCCTCCCCAAGTAAAAGACCCAATCAAAAAAATGGGCAAGTGAGATGAATAGACACTTCACAGAAGTATAAAACTGGCCAATAAGCACATTAAAACAATGCTCAATTTTGCTGACCATTAGAGAAATCCAAACTAAAACAACATTGAGATTCCATCTGACTCCAGAAAGAATGGCCATCATCAAGAAACCAAATAATAACAAATGTTGGTGAGGATGCAAGGAAAAAGAAACGCTTCTACACTGCTGGTGGGAATGCAAACTAATACAACCACGATAGATGAAAATGGGAATTAAGATGTGTTATGTGCCAACTCCACACAAGGAGTGTAAATATTATGTACTACAAACATGCACTAATAAAAGACCTTGAACATTTAAATAATAATCTTTTTTTCCCATTACTGTGAAGTAAAGGAATTTCAGAGAAAAATAAGGAAGAACTGCTCAAAAAGGGCACACTAAAGAACATCTATTATTAACTAAATAAGTTAAAATACACAGAAAAAAGTTTGACACAAATAAGCATTATAAGAGCCCACCAATATCGTTTTTCAAGATTTAAACTGCTCATTTTTTCCCCTAAAACTCTGAGGTGGTTTGTGCCCTAGAGTAGACTAGTGGTGTTATCATTATATTACAGTATCAGTACTTTGGGATTGCTAGGCATATTTTCTTCTACCCTTACCTGAATCGCTGATCTCCCTCAAGCCACAAACTTGGAAAAAAGACAAATAAAATTGTCACTTGAAAGTAAAACCTTAAGATTAAGATAGAAAGCATCAAAGCAGAGATTAAAAAAAAAAATAACAGTGGCTCTCAGACTTGAGCATTCATCAGCACCTCCTGCAGGACTTGTTGAGGCACATTCTGGGCTCCACCCCAGGGTTTCTGACTCAGTGGTTCTGGAGTGACCTGAGAACCTGCATTTCTAATAGTTCTGATGGTGCTGATGTCACTGGCCCAGGGACCACACTTTGAGAACCACTAACATAAAGAATGGCTAAAAATGTTGTCAGGTAACTAAAGATACTAACATTCGGGATATAGCTTCAATCTTGAGAACTTGACTAATGTGAATCAGCCCTGGAAAGTTGCCTCTGTCCTCAATGAGATGACAGAAGTAGGTGCCTCAGCTTGTACTGAATGCCCTACTATGAGTTCTCTTGGCCAAAATCCTACTTGCTGCTCTTTCCATGGGCAGATAATGATTCATCTTGACACTGGGATATGACCAAAGACAAGCTGTGCCTTTCCTGCTACTACAAATTGTACCCTGCTGCCATTTCATTTATTTACATTATTTGGCATGACAGAAGATAGGACAGTAGCAGATGAACAAACAAGATAAGGAGAATGGAACCATCTGGAAATAAAGAGCTCTGGTTCTTCCTAAGTATCTTTGTGCTGATGTGAGGAGTTCTGTGAGCAGTACCAAGCAAGACCAGTTCTCATTTAGAGATCTGGAATTACCTCACTCCTATTAAGACACCATAATGCTTTAAAAACTTTTAGCTTTTTGTCAGAATGGAACAAACAAACTATAAAATGAAATTACCTGCTTCGTAGCCAAAGTTTCCATTTCTAATCGTTTTTTATTGACACATACTTCCTGTTCAAGATGCAGCTTTGTCTTTTCTAATTCTTCAATTTTGTCATTAGCCTTTTGGTTATTTATTTCCTGCATTTTCTTCCTTTGAGACTCTTCTCTCTTTAGAGAACATTAATACAAAGTTGAGGCAAAAATGCAGAACAATTTTTCAAAACTAATATCCCCCAAATGTTAAGGGTTTCTTAATGAATGCACGAGAAATCACTAATAGAACTGCTCTATAGCTTCTCCACTTGATTCAGGCTAACTCATCCAGCTAAAAATAAATGTCAATAGTAAAACTTTTTTTTAGAGTACTCCTTTCTAAAATGAATTCCTGAGAATTCATGATTGCCAATAAGACATACAGGAGCCCCCCTATTTTCTTCCTCTTCCAGTAGCCATTATCTACTGCCAATTTACTTCTTGAAGTAAAATTAAGGAAGCCCAACATTCACTGTGCCTCTCACTCCCTAAATTTCTGAGTCCTCTGCTTCACTTATGAGGTCACAATTGATGGTAAGTCAACACATCATTTGGGGTCCACTGTCAGAGGTAAAAGACCAATTGCATGTTACCAGTTCTGCTTCTAGTGCTCGTATTTTGCTTTCATATGCAGATTTTTGAGAAGAAAGTTCTTGCTGAGCCATTTCTTTTGCAATTTGGATTCCTTGCATCATTTCTTCCTTTGCCTTCAACTGTGCTTCTTTTATTTCTGCCTCAAGTCTACAAAGAAGATATTGACAGGTTATATTGTGAATAATTCCTTATATACCAAAACAGCTTCTAATCATACTAAAATTGAACATACCTGTGCAAGCACAAGGACCCGAGTTCGATCCCGGTAGCAAAAAAATAAATAAAATAAAATAAAATAAAATAAAAAATAAAATAAAATTGAACATACCCTTAAATTTTAATTTAAAATTGTTTTTTGGTACCAGGGATCAAACTTGAGTCCTTACGTTAATTTTAAATTTAAATTTTAAATTTACTTTAATGGAACATACCCTTAAATTTTAATTTCTGACATTCTATCAATAGTATTTTTAAAACTGTCATTGATTATATAATTGTTTACACATAAAAAAATAAAGGAATGAAAATTTGCTTATTTCCAACTTATAGTACTCTTATCGATCTATGATATTTAAATGAAAATATTTCCTTAAGACTTAAGGAAAATAAATTATATAAACACATGTTATAGTAAACACTGCAGTACAAATTATGATTAACAATATAGTAAATACAAAATAAGGGTATTTTATATTAAAATCACAATGGTTAGAGAAAATACTATATATATATCAATAACTTGTGTTTGGGTCATAGATTAAGAAAATACTGAAATGACTCTAAAAGCACATGATGTAAGAGCGGATAAGGCAGAGTTTTAGCATATTTTCAAGTTTTACAATAATTTGACAATTGCCAAGTGAAAATATTAACTAGCTTTAGCACCTTCTCAATATACAGGAGAAAAAGCATTAACAATTACAGGAAACAAAATAGCTTCTTCCTTCCCAATAAAAATCAGTGTTTTAGCACTGCACCGTATAGAAATTCCCATTCACAACTCTAAGAAAGAGCAAGAATGTTACAAGAAAAATGCTAGAAGTTACCAGGGACAGGGAGGAGGAGAATAAGACACTATTGCTTAATGAGTATAGGTTCAGTTTGGGATGACGAAAGTACATAGCGCTGATGGTTGCACCATAATATGAAGGTATTAAATGCCACTGGACTGCATAAAATGGTACATTTTATTTTCAGGCTTTTAAAAGGTGATCCAACATAGTACACTCATTCTTCATTCCTCCTCCTTTGAGGCTTTTTAGTCAACAAGTCTTGCTGATTTTTATCTCCTTCATAGTTCTCTCCTATCCAACTACATTATACTTACCTTTCTTCACTAGTTTCTTAACTGCATTCACAGCTTATGTATTTGCTCTACCTCTAATCCCTCCTCCAGAATGGGGTCATGGTGAGCTCTCTAAAACCATGCTGAAATCATAAGTGTGTCATGTCTGCTTAAAATTCTTTAAAGGTTTTCGTTCCTTTAAGATAAAGCCTATACTCTGTAGTATTTTATTTTGGATACCTACCATTTAGCTTATAATGATATTGTTTAAGCCAGAGATCTTACAATACCGCATGAACTAAAACTGGGGCAAAAAGACAAAAAACAAATACACACTCCCTCAGTCTTTCCCAGGATAACTTCTAATGCCTCCTTGGACTCTGCTACAGGGACATCTTCTCATCCTCTACGAACCTTCACTGAACCCTGGTGGGGATCAGGTGTCACCTCAGAAGCTTCCACATCACTCAGGATATGACTGTCAGCTCCATGAGATGATGAATTTCTCCAGAGTAGGGGCTAATTTTCAATTACTATTCTTTGTATACCCAGCAACTGGTACAGTGAAAGACACACACTAGATGCTCAATAAACTCTTGTTGAATCAATGAATGTACCATGAGAAAAAAAAAAAATCACATCACTAGAAAACAGCACCCAGCGCACGCCTGTAATCCCAGCACATGGGAGGCTAAGGCAGGAGGATCACCACAAGTTTGAGGCCAGCCCAGGCTACATAGTGAGTTCAAAGCCAGCCTGGACTACATATTGAGACCTGGTATTAAAAAACAAAACAAAAAAAGAAACCAGCACCCAAAAAGTTAACTACTGGAGCCTCCTACAATGTGATTAATTCTGTTGCAGGCTTCTCTCATATACTTACTATTTCATATCAACAATAATACTTACTGTGATCTCTGTGCCATGAGTAACTCATTTTTGGCAAATTCAAAGTCTTTAGGACCCTCGTTTATAAGAGTATCTCTACTAGATGGCCTTTTCCCTTTCTGGACTTCAGCTGGGTGATTAAATCTAAAATAATGATCTCCACCAAGAATCACCCGATCACCCTAAAGCACACAAAAAAATTTACTACTTGAGTGAATCTGAACCCAAAAAATTACATGAGAAAAATCATTATGTTAAATAATTCAAAATGTTACATTACTAATAAGCATAAAAATCACAGCAATTACCACTACTTTCTACATGCCAAACGCTGTGTTAAATATATGTAAAATCTCATTATGTCTCACAACAACTCAACGAGATACATATTATCCCAGTTTTAGGAAAGGGTAAGCTGAAAAAGTACAGACCTTAATAACAATAGACATTCATTGAGAGCTTACTAATTTCAGGCAATGTTCTAAAAACTACCCACAAATTATTATTTTATTTAATCCCACTACCCCTGAAAAGTAGGATAAAGAATAATCATATGTTTTGGTTTGACTCCAACAGACTAGTTTATGCCTATTCTCCTGATATATTTAATAATGCTCTAAAAAGTCTTTTGAATGGCGATATTATTCAATCACCTAGTTGCCAAAGGTCACACAGTAAATGACAGAGGCGGGATTACCTAACCCTGTCTGGCCTGACTGCAAAGCCACACAGTGGTACTGCCAGTGGTCAGCTCTGTAGTGACCAGTTCACAGTAATGTAGCTTTTGTCTTTGTACAAAGAAAGGCAAATAAGGAACTAATAGGAAACAGAATTTTTGAAATGGCAAGTTTTTAAATTCAGTTCATCTCCCTTATTCTACAGAAGAGAAAACCAGGATTCAAAGAAATTGAATGACTTGCCCAAAAATCAGTTTGTTAAAGTGTGACACCCATCCACTTACATGATGTAACACTGTGGGTTCCAAAATATGTTTTCCATTCACAAATGTCTTTGCTTCACCAACTGGGATAATGCTTACTGTCCCTCCAAAATTTTTGACAGTACTGTTAAAATAAGAAGCACATTATTACAATCACAGGATACTCTAAAAAGTAAGAAAAAGACCATATGAGATAATCCTTCTTGGGCTATTCTTTTGATGTTCAGATCAATTTGTAGCAAGAGTAACTTAAAATTATTTTATTTTCTCAATGAGATATTGAAGCCTGGTGAATAAAGCATGGCCTCACTAGCAATTCCATCCAACAGTGGTGGGAGGAATTTCTATTCTATGTATTTTGATTATAACTTCTAAATACAAATGAAAAACCTTCCTCCAAAATGAAAAAAAAAAAAATACACAGAAAAAAAACTCAAGGAAAAAACACATTCATGTAAACAAAATTCACATCTATCAAAATTTAAAAATTTGTCAATCCAACCAAACATTCTGTCATGTAAGATGGATAATTTACTTTCAGGCCCATCATTATAATTCCAAGAAAAGAAACGGCTCTTCAATCAACAGATCAACACACCAAAACACAAAGATTTACACTATTACACCGCACTTTATATTGAGTTTAACTCATTTGCTGTCCTTACAAAACACTACGTATGTGTGTTATCCTACCTAAAAGACAGGTTTGAAGTATAGTGAAGAAAACAATGCCTCATTGGAAGGAAACTTCATATTAACAAGATATAGAAGCCTACTGAAAATAAACAGGCACCACTACTTTTAGAAGTTTAACATACCAATGATCATCAGCAATCAGCACCCCCGATAACTGAATATCATGGCTTGAGTTTGGTTTATACTTTCCAACTGTTGTTGTTCCTTCCTTTATCATATATAGCAGCATCTCAGATAGTTGTGGATCCTCATTGAGATTAACAAGGTTTGGCAAATGGTTGTCCATTTGAAATGTAATTCCTGCTTTCTGGTAGAAGTCAGAAAAAAATTAATCTGAACTACAGGATGAAATTATTAAATTCACTTAAAACAGTCTATACTAGACATTAGAATTATTTTTCTGTGAAGCTTCAATAAATTAAAGGTTTCTTGGAAAAACGGTTGTACCTCAGTGGCAGAGTATGTGCTTGACATGCATGAGGCCCTGGATTCAATCCCCAGCATCAAATAAACACCAACTATTACCATCATACTCTTAGACTCTTAAGAGTTCAGCTGATCTTTCTTTGACCATCATCAGCTTCAGTCCACTCATGTATCAACCCACCATCAACAAATTTCATCTATTCTCGTGGACCAATTGTCTGTTCTTCTTGACCAATTGAAGGAACAGTTTTTTTTCTTCCATTTTCTTTGTCATCACCTTATTTCAGGCCCTTAGTAACTCTCACCAGAACTATCACAGCAGCTTCCTGAGTCACCCTGTCAACAATTTCTTCTGGTTTTAATCCATTTATATACTATTTAGATTAATTATCTTAAAAGGTACTCTCAAAATGTCAATTCCCTGATCAAACACTTTCAAAGACTTCTCACTCCTACAGGATAAAACTTAAATTACTTGGTCTGCAAATCAAGTCCTTAATAAACTAATCATAATATGTTTCCAATTTTATGCCCTTATGAACTCAAATAAACAGCTTGTCACAAACTAATTCTCACACTCCTCTGAGGACACATTAAACTTTCCCACCTTTATTATAAAATTTTTCCTTCCTAGAATGCTCTCTTCATCTATACTTATCAAAATCTTACAGGGCCGGGGATTTAGCTCAGTGGTTCCTCCATCTCCCTTGCAGGCGCAAGGACCCAAGTTCGATCCCTGGTACCAAAAAAAAAAAAATCTTGCAAAAACTTCAAAGCCCACCTCAAATCCCATCTTTTCTAAGAGTTTGTGGTAAAAAATAGACTGCCCATTCCCAAGGTTTTCCTCCTTCCTCCGAATTCTTACAGTACTTCCCTACCAATCATTTGAAATATGTTTCTGACTGCCACTATCTTTGTTCTTATCTTCCTCAGTCTCCTTTAGAATTTTATTCCATAAAAGAGTTTTGATTCCTATAAAAAAATGTTTAAGTACTTTTGATCCTTTAAACAAACAAAATCAAACAAGCTGGCGCCAGTGCCACACATCTGTAATCCCAGCACTCTGGGAGGCTGAGGTAGGAGGATCACAAGTTCAAGCCCAGCCTGAGCAACTTAGCAAGACCCTGTCTCAAAATATAAAATAAGCCGGGGATTTAGCTCAGTGGTTCCACTGCCTGCCTTGCAAGCGCAAGGTCCCGAGTTCAATCCCCGGTACCAAAAAAAGAAAAAACAACAACAAAAAAAATATATATATAAAATGAAAAGAGCTGGGGATGTAGCTCAGTGCAAACAGACTGGGCTCAATCCCCAGCAGCACAAAAAACAAAACACAAAAAAACCTCAAAACTTTCCATCAACTTTATAGGCCCTCCTTCCAACAATTCACATTACCGAATACTGTAGTTCCTTTGTGTGGCTCTCTACTCCTTCATCTCTGTCATCCCTCAACCCATTGTCATATGGCTTCTTTCTCCACCACTACATTAACCTCATCATTTCACAATGTGGTGCTCACACTTCTGAAACCTGAAAATCATTCTTGACTTTTCCATTTTTTCAATAACCCCATCTAAAAATAATTCGATATCCTATCACTTTGACTTTTCCCTTTTTTTAATCCAGTTCCTCAGCTATCCATTCCTGTGACTACTACCTTACTCCAAGGTCTCACTCACTCTTGCTTATAACCACAGCAACAACTTCCTCAGAATTTCTTTGCCATCAACAGTTTGTCCTTCCTCAAATTCATCTTCCATACTATTACTAAATAATCTGTTGAAAACAGAGTCTGCTCATGTCACTCCTCTTCTACACACATTCCCCTAAGTTTAAGTTTTTCACCACATCACCATCTGAATCTTACATCTTTTTCCAGTGACAACTCTGTACCAGTCTTAATTTCCAACTACCTGAAACTTAACTCTTTGGACACCCAAGCTGTGTTGTACCTCCATACTTTTAAATATGGTATTCCTTTACTTAGAACATTTTGTCTTTGTTGGCCTAGCAAATTCCTGTTATACAAAACCTTGCTTAGCTGTTTCTTTCTCTTTGAAGTCCTCCTTGATAACTACCCTCTTCAAAATTATTTATTCCCTCATTTCTCCTTTTCTTTTACATACTTTTCATTGCACTAGAATGAACCATATGAAATTGCCAGTGTTCAACCACTTTTTTACCTACAAAAATGGCAGTGTCATATAGTTCCATCTAATCAAATCACAACACATTTCAGTCTGCTGGTTACTAGTGGTCTGAGAGCTGGAACTCATATATTCACCTTGGCCTTCCTCCCTTGTTTCTGGCACAACAGACATTTAATAAATATTTATGGAACCAAAGTAAATATAACAAGACAGTTTGTTTATATTTTAACTTTGAAACCAGCTTATAGACTCCAGCAATCTCAAACTTGATTTTGACAATTCTTTATAACTCCTTATGGTATTGTTTTGTACAGAGTTGATAGATAATAAATATTTGCAAAATTTAATTTACATATTAGCATATTTCTTTTATTTTCAAATCAGTTTAGAAAGTTAAAACGATACCTGTAACTCCTTTGTTTCTTGAAGTTTTCTTTTTTCAGCTTGTTCAAACTTTTCTTTCCATACTCTTTCCAAAAAACAAAGAATAGTTAAAACATGTACATATAGATCACTGATAACCAGAGATGACTAATAGTTTAGGAAACTACCTAGTAATATTTAAAATATGATAGTCTCAAAGTGGACTATTCTAGTCATATGGAAAGTAGGGAGAAAAATGGATTCAGCATCCTCTTAAGGTCCCTCCCAGTCCTCTAATTCCACAGCAACACATTTAGCATTTAAGGGATTGACTATATTCACCTCTGCATTTCTGCCATGTCTCTCTCCTGCTGATGGAGTTTCATGCGTAAAGATGTGATTTCTTGCCGACAAAGCCTGTATCGTTCAGGGTCAATATTCAGATTGTTTCTCTGAGCAGCTTTTAGCTTTTCAATTTCTGCTTTCAATTCTAAAGATTTATAAGAAGACGTATGGTTAACGACGTATGATATACAATAATTTCCACAAGGCATAATCATCCAGTCTTTTATTTCACTTGAAATTGTTAATAGTATTACTAAATAAAATATTTGGAGAAATCAGCTTTACTTTACTACATGATCTATAAATCTTTTCCAGATCAAAAGTGCTCCCATGGTAATAAATCCCCTTCATAATAGGATGGCCATGTAGCGTACTCTCCAGAGTGGGAAAATTCTGAGGTAAAGAGGACACTATTAATTATACAGTACTGGTATGACAGATATTGGAATTATCCTTACTCATAAAGACATATAGGATATGTGGAGACTGGTGCCATATCCCTGCCATCCCAGCCCTACTGGGAAGCCAAAACAGGAGGATCCCAAGTTCAAGCTCAGCCTGGGCAACTTAGTGACTCAATGTCTCAAAATAAAAAAAGGACTGGGGATATAGCTCAATGGGAAAGCTCTGGGTTCAATCCCTGGTACCACAAAAAAAAAAAAGTAAAACAGATCAAAGATTGGTCAAGCTGGAATTTTTAATGAAAATAGTCCCATTTGTAAAAGAGAAGGGATCCAAAAGAAAAAGAATGGACAGTGGTTAAGAAAACTGACTCAAGTGACTCTTCTCTTATACCTCTGAAGTGTCTACCACCTTCTGCTGCTAAAAGGGGCAAGAGGATTTCTGGGCATAGTTGTGAAGGCCTGTAATCCTAGCTACTCAGGAGGATAAGAAAGGAAGATTCCAAGTTCAAGCCCAGACTGGGCAACTCAGCAACTCAGTGAGGCTCTTATCTCAAAAAAAAAAAGAGTTGGAGGATATGAAGGTTCTGTTTTCATTCTCAGTACCACACACAAGGCACAAAAGGCCAGAGGACAAAGAAATATGAAAAATGAAAAGATGGTAGTTAGAAACAAGTACAGTGAAAAAAAAGTACAAAGCAAAGAACAAATCAAGATTCCTTGCAGGTATTATAGTTCATTCTAGGCCGGGGATTTAGCTCAGTGGTTTTGCTGCCTGCTGTGCAAGTGCAAGGACCTGAGTTCGATCCCTGGTACCAAAAAAAAACTAAACAAATAAAGTTCATTCTAAGTGGATGACTACCAAGAGATAAATAGAAATTTTTAGCATAAACAAAATTAGGCCTATGCTAGAAACTCAAGCTGAAACAGCCTTTGGATTAATGAACTAACAGAGTAAAGCTAATAAATGGAAAGTAGAACTAATGAAGGAAATTCGTAAGGGAAAAACAGTAAATACTTCCATTGTTAATTTTGCTGCACACACTTATGACTACGATTTTTTTAATGCTTGCTGTGTCCCATTATTTATAGGTATAGCAAAAATCTTTGATTTTCTTAAAATTGTATGTTTTAAGACTAAAATTAATATGTGAGTCTGAACTGTGGCAAAATAGTTTTTTAATTCTGAGAAAAATATTCACCTCTAATTAACTTGGCATTCATGTCTTCATTTACTCTAGCGATGTTGACTATCAAACGAGCTTGGTTAGCATATCTAAGTGTGCTTAATGTTTCCTCTATGTTGCTGGCAGCAGGACTGATTGTAGCAATCATTGCAGTTTTTGAATTTCCACCCAGACTCTCTTTTAATAACCTTCAAGGAAAAACTTAATAATTAGACTTTGCTTCTACAACAACCTAACAGTAATTATCTCAAAAGCAAAAAAAGAAACTAATTAAGTATATAATACAGTGTTACTCTCTTCATTCAAATACCATTTAAAACTTCTTTGGTATTTGTAGCTATTTTTAGATCTCATAAACATTTCACTTTCTCTTACATCTTTTGTATTGTTTCATGAAACAATAATCTATGTAGAGGTTTAAAATATGCTTAACTATTAAAAATTTAGTAAGATACTTCTCCCCTTAAGAGACGATGGGCTACTTCAGGAAAGAGACTATATATCTCAGTCATCTTTACCACAACCTTTTAAGTCAAGTAATAAATAATAAATGTTGAAAATGATGAGTAGATTTACAAACAAAAGTTCTGTGTTGTACCACTTCCAAATATTTTATTTTAGAGAAAAAGAGAGAATAGAAAGTAGGGAATTCACTAGCCTAACTTTTCAAAGGAAAATACAACAGATTTTCCCCCTACAGGTTTTAAGGTGAGAACTACATTATAATTAAAATTATAATTATTTAATTGTAAATAATTAAACTTACAATTAAAAAATACATTACTGTTAAATAAAGATGTGGTCTTTGTCATAATTTATGCAGATGCTCCTGTACTTAAGCTGAGGTTATATCCCAATAACGTTCTACTCAAAGTGTGTCATTTTCACACCATGATAAAATAGAAAAAGTTTTAAGGCAAACCATTATAAAATGGAGACCACATATGTGTATTAATGCTTATAAGAAGTGAATATTAAATGCATACAAATGTAATTTTAACAAAATATTAGAACTAAAGTACAGTATATATGCAGTAATTAAAATACATATCAAGTATTTTTGTGCTAACCATTGTATTTCAGGCAAAAAAAATTATTCAATTTGACTGTATACACAGTAATATTTGATAATATGCAACATGTTAGACACTAATAAGACTAGTTTTTTTAGACTCATATAGTACATACATGTATTAAAGACTTTTACATTAATAATTTAATCCTCACTATAATCGTAAAAGATAGGTATTGACAACAATCCCTATTTTACAAATAAGGAAACAGGCTAAACGGGCTAAAGTGATATTTCCAATCACAGAGCTTCTAAAATGGAAGGCTGAGATTAAATCCAGATAGTTTGTCTCTGGAATTCATATTACTAAGCATTCTTCTCTATCCCAAAGTAGTATAAAGTCAGTTTCTCATTCTGTTCCTCATAGTATTCACTGTATTTTATATAGCTCTTTATAGTTCAAAAGATACTTGCCATGTAAGAACAGATTCACGATAAGGAATAAAAACCCTCTTTCGGTTTGCTTGTTCAGAAAGTGCAGATATAACCTTTCCCAAAGTTAGCAAGGACTTGTTAATGCTCACACCTTCCTGTATATAAGATAAAAAAATTTTTTTCTTAACTTTTGAGCAACAAATTTGTTTCACAAAATATATTTTCCCCTAATATAATAACTGAATAAACATTTTCTTCTATAAACTTTATGACTTGAAATTTATTTTCTCCAAAAAGTAATCATAACTGGGCCGGGGATTTAGCTCAGTGGTTCTGCTGCCTGCTCCAGAAGCACAAGGACCTAAGTTCGATCCTCAGTACCAAAAAAAAAAAAGTAATCATAACCAAAAAGTATGCACCTCTAAACCACAACCATGTAATCTATAAAGCTACAGCTACAGACACTTTTTGGTCAAGAATACCCAGTTTGTATTCTTACAAAACAATGGCCTCTTCAATTTCATTAAAATGAGAGAGCAAAGCAGGTGATGACCATGAATCTACAGTCCCAGCCACTTAGGACGCTGAGGCAGGAGGACCACTGGAGTCCAGGAGTTCGGGACCAACCTGAGCCACACAACATAACCTCATTTAAAAAAAAAAATGAGAATAGCTCAGCTTTTACCTTTAGTCGATCTCCACTAGTGTGGGATGCAGAACAGCGCTCACTGCCTGCCAGATCTACCAGATTTATGCGGCTTGTAATTCTGTGATCATGTTCTTCCCCTTCCACAATTTCTGTCTACAGCAAAATGATATTAAAATAATTTAAGTTCTTCTGTGACTTGCCATCAATATCAGTCTTTAAAAAGCAAAGTTATACAAGATTATGAATAATTTATGCATAAATACTCAGGGTCTACTAAAATAAATACACTGAGCAGTGGTTAGATTATGCCAAAATTTTCAAAATGACTTTAAAGGGATTAAAATCCATAACTAATCAGTTATATTAAGCAAACAACTACAAATATAAAACAATGCACAAAGATGTTGCTTATCCTCAATAACATTTAAAACCAATGTAAGTAGCTAACAGTAGAAAAAATTAAAGAACTATATCTAATGAAATACTGTATAGCTTTTAAAAATTATCTCTGAGTTCTCATGACATAGATTTTATAGATTTAAGTATTATTCTAAAGCAACTGAAAGATTACAAACCAAAATGTTTCCTGGGGTTTGAATAGTGGCATCTATGGTTGAATTTTAAAAAATCTTTTATTTCCAGATGTTTTCCCAAAGATTCTATAATTATCATATGTTATTGGTAATATATTATCATCTCAGGGAAATGGGGAAAAAATAAGAACCAAGACACATCATGTAAAGGTACAAGATCCCAATGATGAATGTAACTGTATTGTATACCTAAAATGTACCAATAAACTTAATGAAAAAAAATATATATTGTCATCTGCTGATAAATTCATATCAATGATAAAATGATAAATAATCAATCAATTTAAATAACAATGATAAATAATATACTGCTATATGTACCAAAAGTCAAGTTACTGTGTTTATTTCCTAATATCCATTTATGGTTGTATAGTTATACAATTGTACTTTTACCTTTTGATTTACAAAAGAAAATAAGAGGAAACAAAACAAACGTATTTACTATCTTACTTATAAAAATAACGACAACAAAAAAATACCTTGGTCTGGGTCATCACCAGGGTAAAAACTGAATGAGAACGGGAACTTTTATCATTCATACCAGTAGCAGCAGTTGCTCTCTGTTTATTTCCCAATTGCAGCCAACTCTAATAAACAAGAAAGAAAGTAGGTCAGATAGGCAGACTGTAATTTATTGGGGGGAAAAAAGGGACAACGAAGTTAAGAAAGTACATTTGCTTCTTATACACATTTGTAACACATGTACAATTAGTTTACAAAATGACATTAATGCATTTATCTTATCTTTTAATAATTTGTATTAGCAATGCCTTTTTTCTTTCACAGAAACCTACATCAGGAAATAATACCCTTAAAAAGCTATTTCTATAACTAAACTGACATGATGGCTAGCATTTATTTTTAACTCAGAACAGCAATTCTTTTGATTCAAACTTTTTAAAAATTAGTTCACAATAAATTATCAAGATTAACCTTACATTTGTGTAAACAGCAATTAAGGGAAAACATTCTTATAAATATTTATCAGTAAGCTCTTTCTATTAAAAAGAAGACAAAATACAATCAATCTTACCTGAATATCGGAATAAGAACTAATAACATTCCTATTTTTAAGAAGTAAAAAGACAAAATCAATTTTACTGATAATTATATTTTTGTTCTTATAAGACAATAAACTTCCAATTACATAATTACTCTCCGAAGATCACAATGGACCAATTCACAAACAGTACAGTGATTCTCCCAGAATCTTTCATTGCACACACCACTCCACCTGGCTCATTTTCCTCTTTCTTAAAGGACAGGAAGTAAAATAATGCTTTAATTTTACCCAAAAGTATAACTTTTCCTAATAAAGCACCTTAGCATCTTAATATAAAATTTAAATCTAAATCATGATACCAAAAAATATAAATTTAACACATATAAATATGCATAGATATCATATGTATGTGTGGATGTGTTTATAGGTTCTCAACAAAATGCCTGACTTATTAAATAGAACTGAATTTATACTGAATCACTTTTCCTTTCCTTTAAGAAAAGCATTTAAAATGCTGAAAAAGAAAGTAAGTGACTCTTGGCATGTGTAAAATTCTTAACACACTGCCTTCTTCCCATTCCAGATTAAAGTAAGAGACACAAAAACAGGGAAATTTTAATTTAATAAAAAGATAAAAGGGTAGAAAATCAAATATTTATTTCACACTCAGTTCAATCAATGTTCTATGCAGGGCATTTTACAGATGCTATAAAAGATATAAACAAATGTAAAAATAAGAAATTAATACTATGTGGAAGAACAGAGAGAATTTAATTGGATAACATTAAGGACAGAAGGCTAAATAGTGTTCAGGGTTTCAAACAGAATACAATGAGGGCCAGGGATTTAGCTCAGTGGTGCCGCCGCCTGCCTCGAAAGCAAAAGGTCCTGAGTTTGATCCCCAGTACCAAAAAAAAAAAAAAAAACTCCAAAAACAGAATACAATAAGAGTTATGAAAAAAGCAAGATTCGCTCTATTGATTTATTTTCTCCTCCTTGCTCTTCCTGAGCCAAACACTTACATTGACAGAGCTTCAACAAATGGTCCAGAAACAGGATGCTCCCTTACTCTCAGCTAGTAGAAACAAATATCACCAGAGTTAAGAGTATGAAATATTTCATGTATATTTCATGTATGATATAACTTTAAATGATCATTTTTTCTGTATTTCAAATTTAAGGTAGAGATTTATGTTTACTTTGTCCATAAATAAATACAAAGATTCTCACAAAAACAAATCTGTAAGAAACACTTTCATCACCAAAAACTATTTATAGTTGCACAATATGTAGCAATATACTACACATCAAATGTCTTACTAGTTTCTTATTAATTTAAATCCTTCAGAAGCTACTATTTATATGCATCTAAATCTCTAAAATATTCACTACATTTCACACATTTATTTTTTTTTCATTTTTATGTTTACATTTTAAACTTTACAACCAAAAATTCCAAAACACATAGAAGTCATAGAAGAAAATGTCATTTTTTAAGTCTCTGACATTGCCTATGGTCAACTGCATGGTATTGAACAAGGGAAATAACTTCAGATTTTCATTTCTTCTTCTACAAGTTTCTTCGCAAAATTTTAAAAATATAATAGCAGTTTTTTCAAAAGCTTAAATCAATTTTATAGATTATCTATAAAATACAATTTTGCTAAACAATCCACCAAAATTCATATTATATAGTAAAACTTCAAAAACTTTTACTGTTTTTTGGCTTATAGACTTTAGGGATTTTGTGTATGCTTTTAGATAATCCAACTAAATCAGAACAATTATTTTATCTTTAATTTTTGCCCATATTGTACTTGATTAAAATAAAAAGATTAAATCTTAACCAATTAAATTTTCACCAGTGATAATGTTCAGCTTATTTTCTAAATGACAATATAGCAGAATGTACATCCCAAGCATTTGCTAGTACAAAAAACATCTTAGTAAAAAGTTAACCTTTATTATCCAGAGAACTCACATAATTATACATATTTATAAAAAGAGAAATTGAATACAAAATGATAAATTGTTTTAATCTTACCGGTTGCTTTCTCTGCCCATTTTCACCTTTACAAACCAGAAGGTCATGAATTTTTTCATTATATACTTCAAAGAAGCTCATTTCAAAATGATAGCTGACCTAGTAGGAATAGAAACATAGAATTTAATTTATTTTAAAATTCGTTGCATGTTTTACAAATCATGTATCTGACAGGGGTCTAGTATCCAGAATATATAAAGAATACTCACAACTCAACAACAAAAAGACAATCAACAAATTTAAAAATAAGCAAAAGACTTGAATAGACATTTCCCAAAGAAAATATAAAGTGACAAACAAGGGCTTAACAATTCTTAACATCATTTGTCAGTAGGGAAATGCAGATCAAAACCACAATGAAAACTCACTGCGTACTCACTACCGTGGGATGGCTATAATCCAAAAATAAATAAATAAATAAGGAAAACATTAAGCAGTGATGTGGATCTAGAGAAATTGGAACCTTCTTCTATTGCAGGTGGAAATGCAAAATGGTGCCACCACTGTGGAAAATAGTTGGTAGCTCCTCAAAAGGTTAAACGCATATTTACCATCTGTCCCAGTTCTATTTTTATGCATCCAAGAGAAATGAGAATAGATATTCAAACAAAAATTTATACATCAATTTTTATAGTAGCACCATTCACAAAGTTTAAAAAAAAAAACCCATACTGGTATAACCATACAATAGACATTAATCAGACATAAAAAGGAAAGAAATACTCGTGACTTATTACAGCATGGATGAATCTCCAATACGTTATGGTAAGTGAAAGAAGCCAACATAAAAGGTAACATCTTTCACAATTTCAGTATATTAAATCTCCAAAATATGTAAATTCATAGAGACATACAAGAGATTAGTAGTCACGAGAGCTTAGGGAAAAGAGGGAATAGGTTGTAACTACTTAATAGGCTGGCCTTGAACTTACAATCTTTCTGCCTTAGCCTCCCAAGTAGCAGAGATTACAGGTATACACCTATATCAGGGCTGTCTTTTCTTTTCTTTTTCAATGAAGAATAAATACAATTATGTTATTTTCCTGCTTAAAATCCTTCCCTAGCCTCCTAGATTTCTTGAGGCTTGTTTTATGAAGTCCTTCATGAGCCAAGTTCTGCCTGCCTCTCTGGATTCATCTCCTGTCACCCTCCACTCTCAAATTCCATGCTCAAAACAAAGTAAACAATTTATGGTTTCTCAAGGGCTCCCTACTTTCTTGGTTTCAAATCTTTCCACATGCTGCTCTTTCTGCCTGGAATGTCTTTCCCCCTCTTTTTTTCCCAAGCTAATAACTGCCATATTCTTCAAAAACAAGCTCAGTTGTTCCCTCTTCAAAGAAAACGTGTCTCCCTCCAATCTTACATACGTCTTACTTTCCTGCTTCCAATGGTTTGAATACAACCCACAAAATATCATATGTTGGAAATGTAATCTTCAAATTCATATTATTATGTTGATGCTATTTGGAGGTGGGGCTTTGGAAGATGGTGAGGGTTAGATAAGGTCCTGATGGTGGGCCTCTCATGGCAGGATCAATGGCTTTACAAGAAAAAAAGACCCGTGCTTGACCTGCCTGCTACTCATATGATACCTTCTTGCCATTTTATGATGTAACAAGAAGACCTACACCAGGTGTACGTACCTTGATACTGGACTTCTTAGCTTCCAGTACAGTGAGAAATAATATTTTTCTTTTACAAATTATTCAGTCCATGGTATTTTGTTATAGCAACAGAAAAAGGACTAAGACAATTTTTTTTGTGGTAACGGGAACAAACTCAGGACCTTGCACTTGCGAGGCAGGCACAGCGCCACTGAGCTAAATCCCCAGTGCAGGACTAAGACAATGTTCTATCACAGTATTTTCTTAATTTTATTGAGCATTTAATTGATGGTACTTGCCTATTTACTGGCCTATTTCTCCTATTACATTCTTTTGACTATAAAGATTAGGTCTTCTAATCCCATAACACCAAATCTAGAACAATATTTTTCAAATTTCCCTTATGAAAGTATTAAAAATTGTTAAGGGCCAGAGGTTTAGCTCAGTGGCGCCAGCGCCTGCCTGGCAAACGCAAGGTCCTGAGTTCAATCCTTGGTTCCGCCAAAAAAATAACCCTAAAAATTATAAATTCCCAGGCTGTACTCCAAAACAACTAAGAGTCTCCAGAAGAGATTTTTAGCAGGTGTCCATGTGTGTACACACATACACACCCACAAACACACAAACAGAGACACAGACATATACCTACAGCCCCCTCCCCCTAACACACACACCCATACCTACCCCTGCCATGTCCCTGGTGAATTTTTTTTTTTGGTACCAGGGATCAAACTCGGGACCTTGCGCTTGCAAGGCAGGCGGCGGAACCACTGAGCTAAATCCCCGGCCCTCCCTGGTGATTTTTATGATCAAGCAAAGTCTAATAGACTGCCTGGCAACACCAAATGCTCATTAAATACTTGCTGAATTTAAGATGAATAAGTGAAAAAGCAAGCGAAGACTGTTCAGGTGCGGTATGGCTGAGAAAGCATGGCTTTTAAATTGAATCTGGGTTCCAACTCCAGCTTCACTACTGTTTCTGCTTTGCATTGTCCAAGACTTTGTGTGCTCTCCTTTGTGTGCACCTGACTGACTGCAGAGACACATATAATGATATGTAACTACCACATGTGAGCTACTACACACATACCAAGGAATAAAACAAAGAAGGCTGAAGACAAAAGAGATAATTGGTCTATCACCTCATCCACTTGCAAAAATTGCTTCTGAATTTAGAATCTTTGCCCTTTCTCTCTGCATAACTGTTTGAAAAGAAAATGATCTAGAAATGAGAACTGTATTGTTTATATCTCATATTAGTTAGTTCCATCGTAGTCATGACTCTGATTTGAATTTGAACGTACCTCTTCAGTTTGTTTTTTGGCTACTTGAGCAAAAAGATCTTCACAAAATCTTGGAATTATTCCTGGTTCTTCACTAAATCCCATCATTCTGAAAAATATATTATGAATTAAGGGGAAGTGACACTAATTAGTTTGGAAATATAAAAAAAATTCTTTTTGGAAAAATGGGTTGGGGAGAGAGCAAGGAACAAGCTAATTAAAGTCCATAGTTAATATCTAAGAATCAGGGTTCTGGAGCTAAATCTGCCTGAATCTAAATCTTAATTCTACCAGTTATTATCTGCGTGACCTTGGTCAAGATGCTTAACCTCATTTAACCTCAATCTCTTCTTCTGTAAAATTAGAACAACAGAACTCTAACTCAGAGGGTTACTATGATAAAGTACAAGCAAAGCCTTTGGCACAGTGCCTGAAATATAGTAAGAACACAATAAATGTTAGCCACTATTAAAATTCCAAATATTTCCTTCTAGGGGAGGTGTTATTATCTCAGTTATCATTTATCAGATGCTTTACTTTTTAATATTTTTAAACTGTTATTTGACACAGTAATTGTACATATTTATGGGGTATAGTCATACATTTCAATACATCTATACAATGTGTAATGGTCTGATAGGGTAATCAGCACATCCATCACCTCAGACATTTATTATTTCTCTGTGCTGGGAACACTAAAAATTTCTTTATTAGCTATTTTGAAATATACAATTAATTATTGTCAGCCATAGTTATCCTACTATGTTACAAGATGTCTTACTTTTTAAAAAACTGTTTTAAAATCTTTTATAGGAATTTTTCAATAAAACCAGGTACTTGTATAAGGCAAGCATACATGAGCACTTGATAAATAAGTGTCCCAAAATTCTATCCAGGTTTACGCCCAGTAAGTTAACAGATATTCACACGGGTCAATACAGGAAAAATGTTCATTCCCAGGATTTGCCAAACACTAGATAGAGGCCAAGATGCCCTACTATTAATTATCACAGTAACACTTGTGAGTAATACTTGTGAGTACAAGTAAAAACACTTGTGAGTAGTACTTGTGAGTAAAATTCAGTTTACACAAGAAATATTAATTATGGTAAAGTGGAGCCAATGATACAGGTTAAATTGTCTCATATGTAAACTGAAGGAGAGAGGTTAAGTTATTCACCCAAACTTTGCACAACATGGTATATAACAGATGAGACTCATCTGTGTGGTTTCAAAATTATGTCCTATCAACTGTGCTCCCTCTCACAAAAGAAAAAGTGAACATTTCTGGGTAGCCATATGTCCAACACAACTTACGTGTATGACTTTCCAGAGCCAGTCTGACCATAAGCAAAGAGACAGGTGTTGTAGCCTTCAAAGGCTCTTTCTAGAAGTGGTGCCGCCAGTGTCTCATAGACAGTCATCTGGCTGGCATAGTGAGGATGACATTCATCAAAAGACCAGAATGAAACATTATAAATAAATGTATAAACTTGTTTCATGTCAGGATGTTCCACAGTTATTTCCTCCCCATTCATGAAGACCACCTGAGATGCTTTTTCAATCTTCTCTCTTAATAAAGAAGCATAAAGGAAAAGTCAAGTTATTGTAATTATTGCGGGAGCTATTCCCACAGAATATAATAAGAACCTCAAAAGTAGTTAAATCTACCATTCCTTCAAGGCAAGATAATTCTTTACTTTTCTGTGGAAAATAAGCAAACTCAATTCAAGTGAGTTTCCAAAATATGTTTCCTATAGCTCCCATGTCATTGCTCAAGAAGAAAATGGAATTTCAAAATTCTTGTCCAGAAAACCTAAATTATTTGGACAATATTCTTCCTATTTTTCTCTTGAACTATATCTTTTCCCATTCCACCTGCTATAAATTTACCTATATACTTTAATTCAAATCTGGAAATATCTTTATTACAAAGAAGTTCTGGGGTACAGATCTACATAAACCTGGCACAAAATACAAATATAATTTCAACTAACTCAGTGCTTTATAAATTTAAACCACAGATTCCTTTTGGCTGCTAGTTGTTTATACTGTTAATCTGAAAGTCCCTCCTTCCACTAGATTTTCTCCCTTAAAAATCACAATTCTTCATTTTTCAGCTTTTACCTCATCTTTCTTCCATCTCAAACTTAGGTAGAAATCTTTTGCTTACTTTAGATCTGTAGAAAAACATTATCATTCCTTTTCTGGCCCTAAATGTCAGCCCCTCCCCCATTCTTCCACCTCTTGCCCTAAGAACCTGCTTTAAATCATAATTTATCATAATTTATTCCTCATCAACTTGACAAGTGCCACTCCAAGGACTGTCTGATCAGTCTGGAACCCGGCATTTGGTCACTTACTAACTTCTCTTCAGTGGAATCGTCCATCTAGTGTTTTGTCCCTAGCAGCTCTTCTTTCTATTGACTCTTTTCCTTTCATGGTCCTTGAGGTAGAGAAGCAAGCCCTTCTAACAGTTAAGTTAGGCTTCCTGACATTCTCAAATTGACTCACCCTCAGTTCTCCCCCTTACTACTAACCCATTATAGTAGTTGCCCTTAACTATTCACCTTCTATCTTCAAACTGGAAGTTCCTTCCACAAAGCAGTAGTCACCATAACCACTTTGAACTTGTTTAGATACACAGCACCCAGTTAAAAACTACTGACCCTCCAAAGTTTTTACTGTCTTCCCTTAAAATATTTCTAACATAAATAGGTTCCACCCTCACGTTTGATTATATCCATCTTCCTCAACTCTGTGACCATACCCACAATCACCTTTTTAAAAATTTTTTACTTTTTTTCCCATAATCACCTTTGGAGAAAGTTTTTCATACATCAAAATAAGTGTAATGAATCATTATTTTTTAATAACAGACAATGGTGCTGATGATCACCACTCATTAAAGGGTTTAGGAAAGACCCTTCGGAAAACAAGTAGGTTGTTTTTTGTTTTCATTTTTGGGTTCTTTTGGTGGTAGTGGTACTAGTGATTGAACCTAGGGCTTTAGCACTGAGCTATACTCCAGCCCCCCTTATTTTTAATTTTGAGATAGGGTCTAAGTTTCCCACATTAGCCTCAAACCTGCAATCTCCTGCTTCCACCTCTGGAGTAACTGGGATTACAGGTATACACCACTGCACCTGGAAATTATGGCTCTTTTTAAAGGAAAAGGTAAGAAGTTCCTACCATATATCATAGATTTGAAAGCAGACTGCTTTATAGAATTAAGTGACTCCTAATACATTCAGAAAAACTTACTTATAAAAAAAGTGATTAAGTTTTTAGAGCCAATTATTGTTCTCTGATTTAAAAATCTTGCCAACAAGCTTGAAGACACATGGATATTTCCTAACAGCAAAGAGGAATTAAAGACATGTTACATGATACTGGCTTGACCTTAGATTTAAAATATATAACATACCTTTTGCTGAAAGGCCGTACACGTACTGCCACAGTCACATGACTATTCTCTACTTTTAAGGGGTCTGTTTCTGTAGAGGTGTTCTGAACTGCAGTTTCTTCTTCAATAAGGAGTTCATTTTTTTGAGAAATTTCCCTTTTACTTGCAAGAAGAGAACTTTTTGGTCTTTGTTTAACTTGAAGGCTAGGCGTCCTATTTTTCAGTATTGATGTACCTGGGCTCTTAAGGTGAGGCAGGTCATGCTTTGGTGTTGATATGTGTTCTGTCATACATTTCATGGGGGTTCTTTTTTCTAAGTTGCCAAATTTACTTGAATTTTTTGCAATGTCCTTCCCAATACTAGGATGTAAGTTTCCTGTTACCGACACTTTGATATTCAAGTTACTCTGAACAGGCTTCATTGCCAGTGGTCCTGGTCCAACAGCCTCACTCCGATCCTGGGAACCCATGGGTGTACTACTGCTTGAGTGCTTAAGCGCAACATTTTCATTTCCCCCACGGAGAGGAGAAAATGTTTCTTTATATTTCTGATCAACCATGAATGCAATGTCTTTTGAGTTCTCAGCTATCTGTATAGAAGATGCAACAAAAGAATTTTTATTGTTATTTACAATCTTTACATTTGTCCTAGTTCTCTGTGAAGCACAATTACTTTCTGTTTCACTTCCCACATTCTGCCTGGTTTTCCACTTTTCAACAGAATCTGCTTTAGCTGTTTTCCACTTCTCCACAGAAACCGGTTTAGCACGCCGCTGTAAGGTAAGACTTGTTTCAGCTGTTTTTTCAGTTGTATCTGTAGTCTTACTACTAAGCAAAGAGGACTCTTTGTTTCTTGTAGCTCTTCTCTGAAGTGTCAATCTACCCATGGGGTTAGTGGTAAGGGGCGTATCTCCTGTTGTTTTACAGGCAGAAATAACATAAGTGCTATTTAAGTCTCTGATTTTACATGCAGATCTCAATAATGGATCATCCTTTTCATATTCTGACATATCTGACTTCAAAGGCAACTTAAATTGGCTACTATCAGTGAGGCCACTCAGTGATGAACTCTTTTGCAAAGAAGGAACCTTCAGGCAATCACTGTTATTTCTATTATGAATAGTATGTACTGACATTTTGGCAGCAAGTTCTTTTTAAAAGAATATTAAAAACCTAAGCTCTTCTTTGGATCCTCATTTGATTTCCAGCCCTTTCATACATGTTTTCCAAATCTGCTAAATACAAAAAAAAAATCTTTAGATTGCATAGATTACCAACACACTTCAAAAATATTGAGAATCTCCTATTGTAAATCCCTGGGGCCAGGAATTTAGCTCAGTGGTTCCACCGCCTGCCTTTAAAGCAGAAGGTCCCAAGTTCGATCCCTGGTACCAAAAAAAAGTAAGTTCCCAGAGGTATACATTAGAATAAATCACAGTCTCCAGCTCAGATATCCCTTCTAAGCAGCTTCTGACAAATCTCCGCTCTCAAAGGGTCTCCAGTAACTACTGAACAATGATTGTTTTATTATATGCTGGACTGTAATTCATACTGTGGGCTTCTAAGACAAGATCCTTGTTCTCATTTCCTTAGTTTAGAAGGAATAAAAATTTAAACAACCTTTATACTAGATCAAATGTGCCAAGTGGCTTAACAGATGTTAAAAATGTGCATGTCAACGTATAGATAATTGTTTTTAATACTCCCAGCTTGGGGAGTAGGAAGAAAGGCTAAAGGAAATCTTAGCACCTAAATCAGAGTCTGGGACAAAGCATTTTTACAAATACTTGTTTAGGGGTTTTTTGTGTGTTTTTATGGGGCGGGGGGGGGGGGGTACCGGGGATCGAACTTTGGTCCTTCCGCTTGCGAGGAAGGCAGCGGAACCACTGAGCTAAATCCCCGGCCTTGTTTAGGTATTTTTAATTTAAAATTAAATTGATGTCACAAGGCAGATTATTCCCAAATACAAGTACCACAGTTATCGAATACTTGTGTTGAGAAAAATTATTAAAGATTAGATAAGAAGATAAGCTGCCCTTTATCAGACAATAAGCTAAATAATGGTGTATGCAAACATAATGCCAACATTATCCATCAGGCGTTAAAACTTAAAAGAAAGAGAAAAATAGTGACCGCTGAGAGACTTGGCTTTTAGTTAAATATGCATCAAACTCCTTACATGGATGTAAACAAGTCTTTAAATTTGTACGTCTAACTTATAAAATGATACTGGCACAAACTATTTCGGAGATTACTGCTACTGAATCATCATTACAAAAAAAAAAGCATTCATAAGCATCTCCCGTCAAACTTGCACAGAAAGTATAAAATTTTCCCATTATAAAATCAATTTAAAGGCAAAAATAAATTCTGAAAACGCTGCACTCAAACCATTTGCTATTTACACGAGGCAGTATGGTTTTTGCAGAGTTTGGCCGTCGGATTTTAAAGAGGACTGGAAGGAATACAAGAAAAATAAGTTACAACTCAAACCAAAACATCCGGTGGATTGCGTTTTCCTTATCTAGTCACTACTAGGGGCTGTGGGCAAAGAATGTACCTCTCAACGCCAGCGACTCGGCCAGACTCCGCGGGGGCAGGCGGGACCCAGAGGCCCTGAAGCCCGGCCTCCGGGTCTGGACGAGCTGTGCCCCGCGCCCTTCCTTCAGGGACCCCTCTGCAGCTGACCTGGAGTTCTGGGGACAGAAGCGGGATCCGGAGCTAAGAGCGATCCCTCGCTCCCACCCGCAGCGGAAGCCCGCAGGGGAAGTACACGCACGCTCTTCCTCACACGGGTACTTCGGCCCTCTGTGGGGCCCGCTACCTCCAGGGTCCTCTCCAGTCACTCGCCCACCTCAGCGCCGACTCCCCTGGAGGCTGCAATTTGAATGGGCGCCTCACATTCTCATTGGCTGCTTGACGTGGCGTAATGCGCCGCGCCTTCACTTCCTCCCGCCCCCCGGAAGCGTCGATAGTTGGGTTCCGCCCTCATCTCCCTGGCAACGGTCGGGCGCCGCCCTAGCGGGTGGCTCAGGCACCTGCTCAAGCACCTGCGCATCCCACCAGAAGAAGGGGCACGGGAATGGGCAGCAGCTGGCACCCCGCTAAAATGAGTTTTCAAGAAGAAGCGTGACAGTGAGACTCGTGTGGATCCCTAATGGAAAAGAAGCATAAACTCTCCTTCTTACAGTCGAAAACCTCACATTGTAAATGACTATGTGTCCCCATGTTAATCATGATTAATACTTTGCAAGTATTTCCTACGCAAGGCTTGTGATGGAAAATGTAAGAAATGTCTTACTTCGTTTTTTGTTTGTTTTTTTAGTCTTGAAAATTCTATATGTATTGATATTATCCCCAGTTTACTGATGAGGAACTGAGGTTTAGAGTTTATACACTTGTGAAAGCCAGCAGGTGACTTAACTAGAAGTCCCAAGCTGATGTCGTAAGATTTAATTCAGTTTCAGTGAATCTTCCAATAATATTTTGAAACATGAAAAACTTATTCTGAAAAACAACCAGTTCCCCGCGGAGTACTCCAGCCAAATACATATTCTAAAGCAACAATATTTTAATGGGCAAAAAAATGTAAGTAATGGAAACTATTCAGTAGGATAGCAAAGGAAATCAGAAGAAGCTTCAACTACATAAAAGAATTGAGTGGATGATAAAGTAGTCATTCTAAAACACATTCTAAAAATCTTTCCAAAATTTTATTAAAATTTAGTTATAAAGATACTGTCAGAAAATGTATATCGGTTTTATTGGGGAAATATTAATTCAGTTCAGAAGCAAAAGAGGGTATAACAAAGAAAAAGACAAAATCAAAAACATGAGAATTTTAATTTATGTATGATTAAAAATTATAAAAGTAAAATGTAAGGCAACTGGAAAATATATTAAATTTTGAAAGAGATGTAAAGGTCTTTCAATTTTATAAGGAAAATAAGTATAAAATGACTATAAAATGGCTAAAGATACTCCACACAAAAATGATTCACATACATACAAAATACTTGATATAAAAATAGAATGTAGCTGGGAATTTTAGCTCAGTGGTTCCAGGGCCTGCCACACAAGTGAAAGGTCCTGAGTTCGATCCCCGGTACCAAAAACAAAACAAAACAAAAATAGAATGTAAACACCCAAACAGTAAATGTAAGGGGTTTTTTTAATGTTCACGTAAAAAGCTTCTTTTTCATTTTGGCATTTTGGCACTCATGACTAAGCATCCATTTCTAATGGAGTGTACCTGGAGTGCTGCTTGCGAACAGACACCCCATCTGTTCATGGTTTATCCCACAGCTTATTATGAGGCCTAATGTATAGCAGATGCTCAATAAATATTTGTTGAGTAAATAACAAACTCTTCTAGAAAAGCAGTATAATATATTGAAAGAACTATAAAGAAACTCATAAGACTTGACCTAGAGGCTGCATAAGAAAATATTTTAGTAGAAACCAAAAAGTTCACCAGAATATTGCCTGTGCATATTCACTCCAAACTAGAAGAAATCTAAATATCTAACCACAAGAGAACGCTGTCAATGTTTAAAAATGAGGAAAGAGCAAGGACTCGAGTTGGATCCCCAGTACCAAAAAAAAAAAAGAGGAAAGAATAATGTCATGTTACAATTATTGTGTCCATTTTAAATTATACACTAATTGTAAATTTGTAAACAGGATTAGATAATGCCTGGTCTACAGACGGAGCCCTAATCTGCCCACCAGACTTCGAGCTCAAGTTGAAGCCGGGCCTGGTCTCCCTCGCACTGTTCTCCCTGGTGCCTGGCAGAAAATCTTCATAGGGCCTTCACAGAACACAGCTACACTTCCCCTCCTCCCTCTTTCTCTACTCTCTCGGAAACTTCTGATTTAATTCCAGCCACAGAATTAATCTCCACACAATCTTGGGCCACTTGTGAGCCACCTCCAGGTTGACCAAGAGGGATTTTGATCTTTTAGTTGCCTGTAAGCTGAGATGGCCCTTTCCTCTGCAAATCCTCTTCAACACTGACTAGCAGAGAAGGTCACTCAACCTTGCGGGGGCTCAAGTTCCTCATCTGGAATCGCAGATGATAATGCTGCCTGTCAAGAAGAGTCATAGTGGGGACTGAATTAGATCATGTGTACAAAGTCCCTAGGATCGTACTGGCACAGAATTAATGCTCAATAAATGTCAACTACTAAATTACATAGCATGATGTAAATTTCCAAAGCACTGAAAAGCCCCATTCAAGACTAGTGTTGAGAAACTGTGGGCTCTCTGTTATAATGACAATGACATATTTTATGAAAACAAGGATTATGTTTAATCCCTAAAAATAACGAACAAGATAACATACTGAGTCCTTTCGTAATGGACTCAAAAAAACAATGAACTACTACCTCTCTTAAGACCGGTATTAATCCCTGTTTTGCTCCAATTTGATTAAATTTTTAAGAAATGTAATCTTTTTTTTTTTCTGGTACCAGGGATCAAACTCAGGACCTTGTGCTTGTGAGGTAGGCACCGGAACCACTGAGCTAAACCCCCAGGCCCTAAGAAATGTAGACCTTGTGTGCTTTTATATTTATGTATGTATGTATGTATGTATTTATTTATTTTTGGCAACCGGGATCAAACTCGGGACCTTGTGCTTATGAGGCTGGTGGTGGCACCACTGAGCTAAATCCCGGGCCCTGCTTTTATTTTTTTGAAAGAGGAAGAGAAAGGGAAGTCTAGGAAATGCAGGTTTGACAAGAACAAAGTTTGTAGGGAAAACAGCCTGTCACTTCTCAATTCATTGGAAGCCTTGGTCCCTCTGGAGCAGTGGCCAGTGTGCCACCTGACTCTGAGGAGCCTTTTCCAACACCGAAAAGCAGCAGGCAATTTCAGAGCTCTGCTCCTCCATGTAGGCAGAGGGAGTGCCTTGCTACAGCCAACACAGCAGCTATTTAAAAGGCCCCATGTTTTCAGCCAGGTGAGGTGGCACACACCTACAGTATCGGTACTCTGGGAGGCAGAGGCAGGAGAATCACAAGTTCAAGCCCGTGGTGGATAACTTAGTGACTTAATGAGACCCTGTCGCAAAATTAAAAAGACCTGGGGGGCCGGGGATTCAGCTCAGTGGTTCCACCGCCTGCCTCAAAAGTGAAAGGTCCTGAGTTCCATCCCCAGTCCAAAAAAAAAAAAAAAGGGCTGGGGAAGTTGGTCATCACAAAGGTTCTTACTTCAATCCTCAGCACCGCTACTCCACCATTCCACCATCATCGTATAGTAGGAGGCAGAAAGGATACAAATTCCAGTCTATGAGCATTAACACTGAAAAGCGTTCTGCTCTACAAAATAATGCAGACACACCCTCACCAAGTTCACCAATGGTCTTACTGCTAGCTCCAATAAAAATTGCCCTGCAGACCTTCTGTGACCTGACATCTCTGCAGCATTTAGAGCACTCGTCCGTTGTTTTCTGAGATATTCACTCTCCTCAGCTTCAGTCTTTTTCTGGATAAATGTATATGATGACTGGATCTCTGTGAGGACAAAGACCCTTCCTAAGAATAAAAGACAGGACTTGAAAGAACCTGTGGAGATGATTGACTATCCAAAGCCGTTGGGGACTGTTGCACCCTCCTGAATCATGACTTTGTTTCAAGCTCGGGCATGCAGACCTCTGTGGATCTGATTCTCCTGATTGATTTGGAGAGTAAGTATTGCAGTCTTGTCCCTTCACAAATGTGTTTATTTGTTTTTGTCTATTTTATGGACTAAAGGCTGCTCTCCCAGGTTCTGAGCATTGTTGTCTGTTTCAGCTCTGCCCACATATACCACAAGAGGGCACTGTTTCTCTCTCCTGGCTCCTGGGCCTAATGGTGTCACCAAGTTGTTTTCCGATTGTTCCGAAACTGAGGTTCCCTTCCTTCTGCCCTTCTCCATGGGTGTTCCCTCCTTCCATGGGAAGACTGACATCCATGACTAGGGCACTGATTATTCCAAATACCTCACTCTCATTTTGTGTGGGAGAAATAAGCGACCTATTATTATTATTTTAAGAAACTGTGTTGGGAGAACATTTTCTCTCCCACTGTCTTAGACCTTCCATCTCTAGAGACAGGAGTGCTGACTTTCTACCTCCCCCAGTTTGGCCTTTCCCAAGATGGTGTGGATCTGGGGTGAGGGCTGGGGTACCATGTTCTGAGTGTGGACAAATTTCTCCTCTCACACGCTCTAAACCCTCTGGATTTTAGTTCAACCAGGTGATATTTTGGGGTTTTGTCCCATGTCACTTTATCTGTTGCCCCACCTCAGAACAACTGCTATTTTTCAGCACCAAGTTGGAGGTACGCACATTTGTTGGTGCCCCCTTGCTCCCCTCAAGTTCTAACCTGAATCCATTCTTAATGCTCTCTTATAGTTTGTACGGTATCTCTGAGAATCAGCCCTATCATCTAGTTCTGACACTGTGTCCTCACACTGGTCACTTCTGCTGCCCATACTTTAAATCCAATTTTTTTTACCTCCTCTTTGGTATCTTTTCATGGACTCTAATTCTTTGCTAAAGTGGATCATTCGTGTTTTGTGTTTTTTGTTAGCTCAGCTAGATTTTTGTTAGTGTATTCTATAAACTCATTCATTGTTTTGTTTATTAAATATATTATCTGTTAAGTTACAGTATGTGGGGGGGAGGGGTACCAGGGATTGAACTTGGGACCTTGTGCTTGCAAGGCAGGTGGTAGAACCACTGAGCTAAATCCCCAGCCCCAAGTTACAGTATTTTGAGCTTACTAAACACCTTGTCTATCTGGGTTGTGATTTTTTTGTTGTTGTTTCATCTCTTCTGTTATCATTTTGTATAACTCAGCTTTTTGGCATTTGATTTCATCCCTCTTGATGCCCCATGGATGAGCTTTGG